GAAAGGTTTTACTTTATGTTAAAGATGTTTTATTGTATAGATTATAAATGTTTTTTCTTTACACCAAGATCGAGTGTTCTTTGTTTAATAAGACACATCTTCACCACTCTCCATAATACCTATTTAAAATGTTATTGTTTTCAAAATTGAGTAAAAATTTTAGGTTCCCCACAAGTGCTTATTTAGATTTTGATAATGTACTCGACATTTTCTATTATTAAATCACGTTAATAATGAAATACTAAAACCTTTCCTTGTTATTAAATATAGTCATAGATAGATTTAATTCAAATTATATTACAGTAAACCTACAGTTCATTAACCTAAATTATATTATATCTATAATTATATTATATCTAGGCACGAACATAAAAAATAGAGAACATGGCAACCAGTTTCAACGATATAGTTTGATCTATTCGAAGACTTTTGTGCATACTATATTACATGACATTGAACTTATAGTGAACCTTGACTGTTATTTTAACACGAGCAGACGTTTTATATTTTGCTCTCCAGATAGCATGTTTTGTATTCAAAAATTAAATGTATGTTTATAACTGAATTACGTTTAGTGGCAGTGAAGGAAGCAAGAAAGACCAAACATATAAAAATAATAATGAAGTTACAATTATAAGTAATAATTTTCTTACTTTGTGTCTTTAAGTCACCGATTGACTACACACTGAATATATTTTAAGCCCCTTTGCTATTCCCATGAATGATACAAGTCGTGCGGCATCATCTTCACTTTCATATTCCCTAAAAAGGTACAACATAATATTTTGGTACTTTCCACTATTATGGCACTATAAAGATATGCCTCGTATAGTAAGTATATGCGTAAAACCTCCTTCCAAGGAACAATGATTACTCAAAATCTGAATCTTTGAGTTTAAGGGATGATGTAGATGTTTTGCTGTTAACTTTAATTTTCATTGAAATATTCCTCCTCAGGTTTTTAATATTTGTTGTAGTAATAACTTTGGTACAACCAAAATATTCATACCTTTGTAATTTTGTACATCGTTTTCGTTAGATCACATTTAGAGTATGCGTCAACTGTTTGGAATCCACAATATGCAAAACATGTCAACTTAATTGAAAATATACAAAACAAATATATCAGGATAATTTTTTTAAAAAGGGTTGCGATATAAATTAACTTTTCCTGATTCAGTCTTTTTGCCACTTGAAGAACGTAGAGAACAAAGAGACCAAATGTTTCTTTACAAAATATTAAATAATTTAGTTGATTTTCCATATGTGCTCAGTAATATTTTATTTAAATGTCCTCGTTTTAAAGCTCGCTCTCAGGATACTTTCTCAATATCTATTTGTAAGACTAATTATTTCAAAAATTCTTTTATTCTAAGATCTTGTAATAGTCCTAATAGAAAATACAACCACATTGATCTATTTCAAAATAGTTTAAGTAAATTTTATAATCTTGTAAAAAAAACTCATTAGTAATTAGTTATAATTGTTTTTGTACGTTCCAATTTATATTTTTTTTTTCCGTGTAAAATTTACTGTTTGTGGTGTACAATAAAGTATATTCTATTCTATTCTATTCTAATAATGTACATATTTTAGGTTACATCAAAATTAGTCCACTTCCCCGTATAAACAGTAGTGGAAACTTATGCTGGCATAAGTGTCAAAAATTATTATTATATCAAGTTGTAATATACGATATGCTGTATGTTTCCCTAATAATAAATAAATAAAAATAAATAAATAACTTGCAATAATTGCACTGAATAGATGCGCGTTCAGGGATCTCATTGTATGATAGGTGCTAATGTTGTTGTTCTTGTTGAAGTATACTTTTTATTGTACTAGTATCTGTACTAGCATCGTGAAGGTTTCTTAAACGAATAGAGTTTAAATTAAATATTGGATGTATAGCTGAAATGGTCGTGTTTTCTTTCGTGATGTCTTCGGCATTATTTGACCCTTTAATGGAACGTTGAGTTTTGAGAAAGAGATAACTGTTGTTTTCTTGAAACCATTAAAAGGAATTATAGTAAAACAGCTTAGGGGCCATCCATAAAGTACGTCACACGTAAAGTGGGGGGGAGGGGGTCGACAAAGTGTGACATGGTGTGACAAGGGGTGGGAGGGGTCCTAAGTTTCGTGACATCACATTTCAAAATCTACTATTAATTTCAGCTATACAACATTTTAAAGATTTTCATTTGGATGCTGTTTACATTGCCACAAATGCCCCAGGAAGAAGTGCTTTAACAGAGTAGAACGACGAATGGCACCTCTTAGTCGTAAACTTACTGGTGTTGTATTTAAACACGATAATTTCGGTTCACATCTCGATTCCAGCAATAAAACTACTGACCTGGACTTGGAAAACGAAACTTTGAGAGTGCAGGCACAGTACTGAGTATGACTGTGAGTTGTGACTGCCATGCCAGTTATAAATAATTTAAAAGACTGGGTTCAAAGTTTATTTTTTTGTTATTGTTTCAAATAATTGATATTTTGTTGTTTTCATAAAAAATACTCAATTTAAATGGAAATAATACTAATTTCGGAACTGCTGCTTTAATTTAATAATTTTTCGATGTTAAATTGCAAAACATGTGACGTCACACTAGGGAGGGGGGGGGGGGTCTCAGAAATGTGACCACTTGTGACAAGGACGGGGGAGGGCTCAAAAACTCATGAAATTAGTGTGACGTATTTTATGGATGGCCCCTTATTTGAAACATTTATATACTCATCTAAATCGCAAAAAAAAAAAACAATTATTTAGTTGGGATTCAGAAACAGATGGTGTATTGTCGGTCATCAAGTTTCTCGGCTTGCATTCAGAAAGGTTTTTTAGTCAGAAGTGCTGTCATGCAGACGTATTTACGACTTGACGTATTTAGACTTGTTTAGACGTGTACTTTGGGGATTCTGCTTCTATACAGTCGCAATCTTTCAGATGGATTGAAGAAATTGAGAATGAGCAGGTTATGAGTTAATAAGATCTCTTTTAGAATGGCTAACTTCAAATGACTGAAATTGGTCAGGGAGTGAAAGGAAATAAAGAGTTATATCATTAAAGCACAGTAAAAACAATAAAAACATAAAGTTATAATTTGTAATCTGTCTTATTTTTTTCTTGTAACTCTTGGATATCAATGTATTTTAAATATGTATAAAAGTGAGGTACCACAGACCTCATTTACATGCGGAATTCCCCGTTGTCCTAAAAAAACCTTTAAATCTTTTACTGTGAATTTTTCACTTTCACTTGACATTACTATACGAGAAAATGATATGGAACATTGACAGTATTCCCATAAGATCCAATGTGAATAGTTTAAAAGAACAGCTTCAAATCTAATAAGGTTAACAGATAGTCATACCATTACTCAATTTTTATTAGTTAAATTAACTTTGAAATGGCAAAAGAGTTAAAAAGAGTGTACTCTTTTACACTCTTTACTCTTTACACGGATACTGGCCTAAAGGGCCTAAGTGCTGAAGTTATTGTTGCTTATGTTCCTGGAGACATAAATAAATTGTCATACATTAGACGACAGAATTAGATGAAAACCCTATAGTGATCACACGAGTATTGACCTCTATCCAGAAGTACCCTATATCCCACCAAAAAATGCTTAGCAGTTTCAATTGTTTGTCTGCATTTATGTATAGCAAGTGTTTCCGTTTTTCACTGTCTCGTTTTACAAAAACATTATTGAATATGGTATAAGTTATTTCAATATCATTATAAACAATGTTTATAGCTGGGGGGAATTGTTTTGGTTTTGGGTGTGGACTGTGGGTATTTAAGGGTAAAAAATGGGTTTTCTCGATTTCCGGCAAAACTAAAAGTTTTACGGAAAAAGTTATATGGCAAAGTTGTAGGTAATAAAAAGATCTAAAGAACTTTTGTATTTCCTTTTTTTCATATAACCTCAAAATTTATGTGAAAAACTTAATAAACAATGTTTTTGGTTTTTTATTTTCTTTAAAAACTTAACTTTTGATGTCCACAACACACTATAATATTTGATAAGAAATATTTACTTTTTCAGCTTATTTGGAATAAATATTGAAAAATCAGCCTTATTTTCAATCCAAATATCACCCGTCAAAATATCAGTTTTTTTTTAAATTTTGGTATGTTTTCTATTCGTTAAAATCGCTATTTTGCGATGGTGAAAAAGAAATATAACTTTCTTACTTACAGTACAATTTTTGGATAAAATAGTCATGTCCCTTTTAATGAAATGGCACTCAATATCGTTTTGAAAATGCTCTTTAAATTTATTAGTTTTAGTAGTTTAATGTCAATTTTCTGTAAATGAAATAAAATAGGGATTTTCAGAAGTACACAACTATTAAAAGTTATCGACATTGGTCTGAATGTATAAGTCTAATGTCTAATGTATAGCTCTAAAGGCGATGTCACATGCCGCCTTAGTTACTACAAATGATTTTTCAAATATAGGATATTACAATGTATTGTTCGTTAAAAATTATTTATATTTCTAAAGGTATTGATAAACTTAGGGAAAAGAAATTTTATGATTTTCATTTTAAATGTAGCCTTCGGTTTTCTAAGCTTTGCAAAGTCTTTTATAAACTTTCTGTAATAACTTACCTGGTCTTAAAATTATTTCATTTCATTTAGACTTCATGTTAGTTGAAAACATGAGACAGCCTAAGAAAATTTCTTCAAACTCATGATCTGTATATGTACACAAAAAAATAATAAACGTAAGCAAAATTATTATTGCGGGTAAATTAATCGACATGTGCGTTGTCCTTTATAAAATTTGGTTACTCTATTATACATAAAAACAACATTTACTTTAATTTAAACACGTCAAATTTTTCCAAACTTGATAACACTAAATATTTAAATATTATGCACTAGTAGTACATCATATTTGTAGACACACAAGCTGTGTCAATACTGACTTTTGATATAACGTTCTTTAAAGGGAAATAAATTTAGTTCTCATATTACTTTGAAATAAATAATGTTGGATCGCTTAAAACTAGTGCCTATTCAAAAATGGCCTGAAATAAGATCTTTATTAAAATTATATCTTCCCAGAAGTATAGCTGGACTAAACTTTTTGGAGACCAGAGAAGAAATTGAAAAGTTAGGTTATGATTATAAAGCCAAAGTTTACTGCCCAGACGGTGATGCCTCTAATGGAATTGTTGCCCTTAATGTTAAGGTAAATAATATATAATTAAAATTTAGAGACTTCAAATCTGTGTTGTGTTAATATGAAGAAATTATGACAAGTAATTATTAGAAAACTATGTACAAAAAAATGTTTTGTCAATCGTACAAGCCATTTTTTGTGGAAGTTTTAAAGAAAAAGTCTACATATAATTTTCGAAAAGCGATTTAAATAAAAACTAATGAGATCTAAGACTTTCGTTACAATTAATTTCAATCAAAATTATATTTTTCAGATATACTAAGAGTGCTTTATATATGTAAAAAACGAGACGTAGATCTCGTCTGCCCGTGATCACGGTTGCTGAAAAGTAGCCGAAACGTCGGGAGTATGTAGTTTTACAAAAATAAAGCACACAAGTAGTATATCCGAAAAATAAAAGTTAAAAAATTATAAAAAAGAACCTGATAGCAGATCAGATTTATAAAACTTTTATTTACTTTTATCTTTTTTCCAGGACAAGCTCTATGAGGTTAATATTCAGTGTCCTAAAGATGACACCAGAGAACTGGAAGAAGCTTTGAGAACAACTAAAGTTATAGACTGGACCCGAGATATAAAATTAATATACACTCAAAATCATGTGATGCAATGTATGATGAAAGTAATAAGGGATAAAAATATTGCCATTCAGCAAGTAATACCTTCAGTGACGTTTGTCAAGTATAACAATGATCCACTTTTTGACGTAAGGTAATTAAATGTAAATAATTTCAAAATGATATATAAATATTGAGTATATATACTTTACATTATTTATTAAAAATATAATTTTTTTCAGTTTACCGAAAGGTTATAGTTTTGATACGTTATCCCTAAAGCATGCAGAAACGGTAAATTCGAATTGGATTCATAAATATCCGGATTCTGAAAAGTACATAGAGTCATTGATTAAAATAAATTATGGATATGGTTTATTTAAGGATGGTGAGCTTCTGACATCTGCATTTAAAAAAGAAACTGGCGATATGGCTATTTTATTTACACACGAAAAACATAGATTCAAAGGTTATGGAAATTTAGTGGTAAAATTAATATGTAACATTTTTCAAGAAAAAGGAAACCATATTTTCTTTTCGTGTGTGAAGGCTAATACTAAAGCTTTGAACATTTATAAAAATATTGGTATGACACATAGTTTTGATGATGAATGGTGTTATTTCACAAGAAAACCATAAAAAATATTATCAGTAACCCATAGAACAAAATAGTTTAAATTATTTATCAAAGGAACAAATTAAAATTCATGAGTTTCCGGTTTTTATCTTCAAATTTCAATAAATAATGTATGCTTCCTAAGTATTCAGCATGTTTTAGTGACATAACGCGATCATATCACTAATACCTAATTTAACTTTGTGTTGAAAAAACTATGTATATAGGATTATTTCAAGGCTATTGTTTTTCTCTGATAGTATTGCAATTAATATCTTTGTAGATAAACTTATAAGTAACGAGAGAAAATTCTGCTATCGGTTCAAGTAAAATAAGAAATATATAGAATCCATCCTAGACTTCGCTGACGATCTTGCGATACGGACACGTCACCCCAAACACTGTCAAGTACTATTTATTCTATGAAGTCGATAACTTTCGGTACTTCCTTTTTGGCCAGGAACGCGATCCGGAACTAAAGATGATTTCTGATAACGAGAATTGGCTGCGTTTTAAAAAAATAAAAAGAATTGCAGATTTTTTTCTAATTTTTATATTTATTATTATAAACAAGGGTTTGAACCTAATCTGAACCAGAACGTACCGTCTTGTTTTTCCGAACCGTGAACCAGAGTATTTTAGAATTTATTAACAAAATTGTTATTAAATGTTGCTATAGTTGTAATAAGTACTAAATATAATAATAAAATGGGTTTCGTGATGATTTTCATTTCCTTTCCTTATTATGCTATATACAGGGACGACAATCGGAAGAAATCTCTCCCCCATATATAATTACGCGTTCTGGTAAAAAAACATACCACGACACCACTGGTCTAGGGTGACAGCAAATGTTCCATTTCAAGTTCACAGTCTTGATGTAGATAATACTCCATCTTTTTTTTAATGTAGAAGGTGGTAAACGAGCTGATGGCCTACTTGATGGGCAGTAGTCACCGTCGCCCATGAATATCATATAACATAATTAATGATCAGTGGTGCGATTTAAAGTACATCTGAATAACGGTCAATACTGGGGTCGGGGTTAGTTTTCGAGAAATAATACGTGAAACAGTTAGTCTTTCCGTAGCCAGAGCACAAAAAGAAATAACCACAAACGACAAACAACCCTAGTAAGTTCTTTCAATTTTGGTTAGGTAAAGAAGTGAAGGTGGAGGTGAGCGGCATACACAATGGTTCCTGTAATCGGTCGGAACTTTTCTCCTTTTTTCCCTATTCTACTAATTGCTTGTATATATCTGCTCTCTAGTTCTGTAGCAAGGAAACGTTTTATAAAATGTATGATGTTTTCTTCTGAGTTTTCATAAGATTTCGGTCACCGCTTAGTCTAATATATCGATGTTCCCCCTATCTTGATTGCTTTTCAAGGAAGTATAATCTTTTATATTAGTATTCCGGCTTTTGTTCTAGGTTATCGTGGTTTTCTTCCATTATTTTGTTTTTTTCTTCCAGTTTGAGATTCATGGTATAGATACGTAACTTGTTGCGTAAGGTTGTCAGCTGATTGCATTATGGTCAATTTATGTTCGTTAAATTCGCTTTGTTATTTTCGGAGCATATTCATTACGTCTTTCATGGTTTGCACGGTATTATAATTAGTAAGAAAATTCTTTAGTTTTGACATTTGTACTGCCCTCTATTGGTATGGTTAGATATTAGTACGCGGAACGCTGACTTGGTGTAAGCTAAGATAGTTTTCAGCAAATCCTCTAGATGGCCTTATTATTTTGATCGATATTGTTGTGTCATTTTGAAGTTATTGCAAGATCATTATATTATTGGTTAGTTTTTTTCCACTTTATTATTGAGTAATATTACTCTTACTAATACTTTAATATTGAGTAATATTACTGTTGAATATCATTATGTTCTTTATAGTATATGAAGATCCACTTTTTTTAGTATAATAGTCACTAGCAGAATAGTAATACCGTTATTTCTCTTCACTCTTTTGTACGTATTTAGATGAATATTCACTGATTTTGGTGTTTTGTCCATAATATACAATAAATGTCGTTTGTTTATGATGGTATTACACTCAGTTTTTATGCTTCTTTTCATCCATATATATTTTTTTAATCCACAATTAGCACGGGTATATACGTATCGTGGGTCACTTCCCTTTAAGTTCATGACCAAAAAAAAAATCACTAGCTAAATCTGCATAAAAATATTAAAATATTTACCAATGGCACAGCATATGTAGTATAATATGTAATTTCTTTTATTAAAAAACCTTACATACATTTTTGTTCCAGTGTTTTAAAATATTTAGTTTTTATTTATTTTATTACAAAGATAATTTATATCTAGGTAACACTGAAAATATAAGGAAATGAAAACCGGCTTAATATACATAGGAAGGTGCCAGTACTTTCATTGTTTTTCGAAGTAATCTTCGTTCTTCTGTTCACATCGTTGCATTCAATGGAACCACTGAGAGAAGCAGTAGCCCATTTTTCTTGAGAGAACTCTTCTGTGGCATTGTTGTATGCTTTCACCGTATCTCTCATAATGCGAATACCTCAAATTTTATCTTCAATTCTTGGGAATAAATTGGGGGAGAGGGAGAGAGGAGATATTATTTTTAGAGCATATTTTTTGGATGTGATCCTTCCTTAAATTAAAGTAATAATATTTTTCGAAAATAAAAACATTACTATAAAAATTTGGATAAATGGCGAGTTTTATAATATTTTCTTATTAATTAATGCGTTTGTTTTCTGTTATTTTATAATAAACTTTGTTAATATCAAGCGAATGAAGCTGTGGCTTTTAGCTATTAGAAGAAAATCCTTGTAGGATTTAGGTATTTTTATTAAAATTAAAATATATTGAAGAAAAGTAATGAAATATTAATCTTAGTAAGATATATTTAATTTTTTATTTGTGATAGGAACGGTATACATATGGACATATATTTTCTTCTATTTTATAAATATTTTAATGTATAGCGTACGTGGGCACTAAATACTAATTGAGAAATATTGTGTACAAAGTAGGATAGGGAAGAGAAAACACACACTACTGTGTTTTAAATAATATATAAAATTTTAATGCTTAAATGAATGTCGTGTGAAATATACAAAAACATGGTAACACACCAGATAGTATAAAGGAAATTGATTACACAAATAAATATTATAATAACATACTAAAAAGACATAAAAATCAAGGGCCGTATTTTCCACAAAACACAATGGTTAATGATGGTCCATGCACGATTAGAAATATAAATGGCGATGAAGATCTTATTTTATTTCGGCCAGTGGATTTGGCAACATTTGCTGGAGTGTATGCAATGGCTGTCGTCCCTATTTCTGAAACCGTCACCGTCACTCTTTGTTCAATATTCAGAATATATAAGTTGTCTGATGATATCCCAGAAAAATTCGCCGCATCTGGTGAAAAAACATCCATTACTCCCATTGACTTGAAAGGATCGTTTAATGTCAGCGATGATGTTAAGGAAAACTTCGGCAATTCAATTAAAATTTCCTTCAAGCCGTCTGAATATAATTCCTGAAATATTTCGTCCAAATCATTAAGAGCCAGGTTTGTTATCACATCTTTGAGAGTTACACCATGGTGGGGTCGTATTACAAGCATGCTAAAGTCAGAATCACTCACATAAGATAATTCTAATACAGAAGCACGCAACCACTCTATATCAGTATAAAAAAATCTACCACTTTGACGCAACACATATCGATCGCTAAGGGAGTAATCAAAAGGTATGGCCCAATCGGCCTCGAATTCTATCACAGCACTCATGATCATTGAAGTCTCCTTAAAATCACTTGAATCAAAAATAATTCGCCTCGGTATAAGAAATGAATCAGACAATTGTATGTAGTTATTTGCTGAATCAGACGCCAAAACATTATCATCGAAATTGAGCATTTTTAGTGAAATTCCAGAATCCATGATGCTATCTTTGAAATTACTCGTCAACTGCAGTCTAGAATCATAGAAAACAACGCGTTTGATTTTAAAAGATGCTCGCGAATGTATTGTGGTCATTAAATTGTTCACGTAGTTGTAAAATGAATTGAAATAATTTCCTTTAAGTTTTGATACACCCATCGTTTTATGGAGCTGTTTCCAACTATCTTGAGAGGTCGTGAAAGCAACAAGGGAAACCAGATTCCACAAAGTATAAGGTGCCAGCACCACATATTCCTTTTGCTGATTCGTATAGTTCAACAAGTGGAAACTTAGGCTTCTTACCTTTTCACCGAATGATATTAAATCAGAAATATTTTTCGGGATTTCACAAAAACCAGGAGAAAATATGTCTGTCAATCTGAAGAGAACCAGTAATTTAAGCAAGTTGAAATGCAACGAGCACATTGTCGTCTAACCGAATTCATAATAATACTGATAAGGTAACATCTGCACTGTTTTTACTTACGTGATGAATGTTTAATGCGGTTATAGTTCATTGCTATCTTAATTTAATCACTGTGTTTTCCCATCATATAAATTTCTTGTAAATTCAATAACAACATTTTATTATATAAAAGTATACTTGCTTTTTACCAGTAATATGCACTGTTTGAAATCTTTCGCTTTCAAACTTTGTGATATGAGTGAAAGCAAGTTCCGACGTAAATCTATCATCTGATCACAATTATTTGAGCTAACATATAAATAAAAAAATATATATTTTTTGAGACATTATTTAGATAAATAAATAAACATGAAAGATCTAGAATAATCATAGAAAATATTTATATAAGTTTATTTATAGAATGTTTTGCTTGGCACATAGCTTTAGGCAGAAGACACAAAGAAGAAAAGGTATCAAATTATTAAAATCCTCTTCAACCGCCTTTTGTACCATGTTTCATTGTTTGTTATGTTGCTTCTTGTTTTCTTCTGTTTTGGTGTACAATAAAATATATTTATCTTATCTTATCTTATCTTCAATATTTCAATTCCATATAACAGATTTTCTTTGTTGTTCTCAAAATCATTCACACTATTGAAAATATGTCACGTGAAGTGGTTTTGTTATTATACGTTTTAAATTAATTGCAGTCTCAACCAGAATTTTAAATATGGAATACTTTTTATATCTACTTACCTTATTTACCTACTGGTAAAAGTTTGAAAAAGTGTTTAGTCGAGTAGACTGCAGTCAGCGATGCCGTAGTGACCATAATTATATTATATTGTTAAAGCATTTCACTGAAAGGTGATCATGTCCATTCAATAGTGAAAAGGAAGCTCTAAAAATTATTATGTGTTTTTTCTCCGAACCTGTTTCAATACACTCAGATCAATTTTCATCAAAGAATATGATGATGATGGGAAAAGGATTATTCAAAATTACTAGTAATTATGGAAATTTAGTTTGCTAATATTAATGAGTCTTTACCAAAATATTAAGCTAGATCAAAACCTCATATTTTGTAAATAATAAATTCCTAAATTCTCTCCATTTAATGGAGCTTAAAATGTTGTATGAGCTATTTTTGAGTCAATCTGCTCATATGTATTTTCTTCATTCATTATCCTATTGAACTAATGTAGAATGTTTGTGTTTAAATTTAAAAAAGGATAAAAAAACGTTTTTAAAATATATATAAAGAAATAAGCAAATAAACGTAAAAAATATGGTGTAATAATTATCTCTAAATGATTTAATTTAGTTAGAACTCAAACCAATTACAAAATGTGGCAATAAGTAGGAAAGAATTGGGATTCCACACGTTGCAAGAATTGCAATATAGCCTTTTCCTTAATTCACTTTCCAACAACTTTATAAGAATAATAATCTACAAGTAGCAAATGAATTTTTATTTTAATTTGCTATTAAAATGAATGAATATGAATTATTAATTTAATTTGCTATTTACTATTAAATGATAGTCTCCTTTAGAGGAGATGTTAGTCATGTCATGTCATGTCATGTCATGTCAATCAACACTTTTACAATGGAGCAATATATATGCAATCGAAATTTTTCAGATGGATTTTAGAAATTAAGAGTGAACTTACTGAAATTGGTAGAGAAGTGAAAAGAAATCAAGAGTTACATTATCAAGTACTGCACAGTAAAAACTATTTAACTTTATGTACATAATCGTGCTTAATTATTTTTTATAACTTTTGAATTTCGACGTGTTGTGAAAATGTATGATAATGAAGTATTATCTTCAAGGAATAGATGGGGCTCTTGTCCTGATATTCTATTTTCTTCGTTCGAGCCGGATCCAGAAGCACTTAGAGTGAGAGGAGAAGTCCTGCAATAATAAAGCACTTTTAAGGACCCTCTAGTCTATATTTAATGATTATAATTGTATCATGTGGAATTCCCCGTCACCCCAAAGAAAACTTAAAATCTGTTATACATACGAGAACAATTACTTCATTAATTTATATACATACCAAAAGTAGAAATAGTTACATTATTATAAAAGAAATGTTAAAACTGGAAATATAAAGTTTTTTTTATTTTATTTTTATTTATATGGTCGTAGAATTTAGACTTTATAAAAAAAACGGCATAATTAAATAATTTAGTGAATATAATTGCATGAGTTGATATAAAATACTATCCAATAACTTTACCACAGCAGTCCTCGAGTGCAACACGTATTTTTTATTACTTTATTTATCATCATCATCATCATCATCATCATCATCATCATCAGCCTGTTAGACGCCCACTGCTGAGCAAAGGCCTCTTTCCCACAAGGAGAAGGTTTGAGCATTAATCACCACGCTTTCTCAAGACGGGTTGGTGATTTCAAACTTATAATTGTGAAACTATAAGTCCAGGTTTCCTCACGATGTTTTCCTTCACCGTATGTCAGTGATGTCTAAATACTCTCAGAAAGTACTTATGACTCCGAAAAATCACATTGGTACTTGCCAGGTTTGATCCCGCGCCCTCGGCATCGAGAGGCGAGCCCCTTCACCACTAGGCCACCACTGAATTATGATTTTTGATTACTTTATTACAATTACATAATCCCAACCTTTCGATCTTTTACACAAACTGTGATCATGAGGAGATGAGATGAAAGATTTTGTCATGAAATCTTGTTATTGGTCATCTAACGTCAACGATTCCTTAATTTTCTAGCGTACCGCTTTTAAATTACGCAGTAAAACAAAGTAAATATATTATGCGTAGTATACGAAAAATTTAATTTAAAATTATACTACCTTCAGAGATTTGTGTGATGAATTGCTACCTTTCTTTAAGTTTTTAAAACCAATTTGTTTTTAACTGATCTAATAAATATATACTTGATGCTTATAAATTTGAAAGAAACTGTTAAATTTCTATATTTTTTCTAACAGTGTGCTTTATTGTTTATTTATTTTTTATAGAATAATGTGGACATAGTATTTTTCGAACTATCTACTTCTCTAGGTTCAAGTTGTCTTGACTGAGACGATATAAAAGTTCTTTAGTACGATTGGATATTGATTAGTGGTCTTAAATGCTTATTTTCAATATAGGATATTTCGTCAGTTATCAGATGATTCATGGAGAAATTTGATTATTTTATAAAAAATTATCCCAACCGTAACTGTTTTCAGCGTATGTTAAACAATCGGCAATTAAACAGTTAGTAATTATCTGGTTAAAAATAAAGTCTGTGTCTTTTAAATTAATCGTAAATTTTACTTATGTAGATATTTCAGCTGGTATTATTTCTTCTAAGTTCTTTTATAGTAAAGATCAGAATTGTTAAATCAGAATGTTAAAGGGCTCAATCGAACAGACGGCCTACTTGAAGGAAAAAGTTATCGTCGCATGGACATGGACATCCGCAATATAGTTTTGCGGCTTCGTTGCCACCTTTGATTGGGGAAGAGGAAGATGAATTGGTGGGAAAAGGAAAGGGTAGGAAAAGGTGATAAAGGAAAAGAGCAACTACCGCTCTCACCAATCGGACGAAATCCAACCATTAAAGGATACTTTATGCCGATTTTGACTGTGAGAGGGTACTTTCAGGGTCGAGCCAGCCCATGTTCGAGCCGCACAATTGGACCACAGATAGTCTTTACCACCTACAAAATTATGTCAAGTAAAAGGTAAAGGTTTGTCCTCAAAGTGACTTATATATTTCGTTGCATGGTAAATGTTACTTTTCAGCAACCTTGATCACGGGCAGACGAGATATGAGTGTCTGTCAGTTAGTCCTGTTATTTGTCATCACTACCATCGATTCCTTAATTTGCCAGCAGAATACAACCAGTCAGCAGTGTCAGCAGTGTGTAAACACATTATGGATAAACCAGACCACTATATTCGGTTTGATAAACCACAAATCCTGGCTCGTGAAGATAGGTATATACCGAGGTTAATCCGCGAGACTATTGAATTAAAAAACATTCCAATTTCAATTGAGAAGATGGATGAAATCTATCAAACAAACACTTGGGACCAACTCCTTAAAAATATAAAACCCCATGTCCGTGACCATGCCGCAGGACCTTGGGATACCGTAAGCGTATTCTGCCGGCATCCAAAGCGGTAGCTCGAAAAATTAAGAAATCGACGCCGGTAAATGATAAATATGACCACTACATCGTTTTAGTGTTCAATAACCACTACATACCTATATCTTTTTATTGTTGAATATCTAGTTTAGTAACAGATAAAATTCCAGCTTATGCCAATAGCGACCAATACCTTATGCCAAATAAGCCAATACGACTTTTTAATATAATTCTAAGGGCGATGTTAGCCGCTTCCTTAATTAAAACAAATAGTTAATAAAAATTTGAGTATTACAGCGCATCTAGTGTTCTTAATTTTGTTCAACAGTTATTAAAGGAATTCATAAACTTAGGAGAAAGAAATTTTATGTTTTTTATTTTAAATATTGTAATAGGTTTTGTGAGCCTTGCAAAATATTTTATAAACTTTCTGTAATCGCCTACCTGGCCTAAAGAATGATTTAATAACTTTTAGAGTTCTAGTAAGTGGAAAACTTAAGACAGCTTAAGAATTTTTCATCGAACTCATGATGATATATAAATAAATAAAATAATAAAAGTAAACAGAAAAATTAATCGATATGTGCACTGTTCTTTATCTAATTACGGTTACCCTTTTATTCATAAAAACGACATTAACATTAATTTAAACTCATCAAATTTGTGTCAAAACTGATAGCACTAGATATTTAAATAATATACACCGGTAGCAGGTAATTAATTATACTTGTGTACAAATTTCTATAAGTAGATAAACATCTGCGGTTGCGTTACTGATTTTAACATAAGACAAAAATAAATTCAGTTTTTGTATTTCTTTTTAAATAAATAGCAGATGGCAGATCGCTTGAAACTAATGCCTATACAAAAATGGCCTGAAATAAAATCTTTATTAAAATTGCATCTTCCTAGAAGTATAGCAGGACTTAATTTTTTGGAGACCAGAGAAGAAATTGAAAAGTTAGGTTTTGGTTATAAAGCTAAAGTTTACTGCCCAGACGGTGATGCCTCTAATGGAATTATTGCTCTTAACATTAAGGTAAAACTATATAATTAAAATTTAGAGATTTCAAATGTATGTAGTGTTAATATAGAACAATTATGACATCTTATTATTAGAGAAGTGTGGACTCAAAAAAATAATTAATAATTTTTTTTGTAATTACGACCACAAGCGCAGAAGCTCTTGAAGTCTCAATAATGTTTCATTTTTTATTGAAGTTTTAAGGAAAACATCTACTAATGAATTTCTGAAAGCTTTTTATTTACTCCTATTATAAATAAGTGGTTGCAGATCGCAGATTTATGAAACTTTTATTTACTTTTATCTTTTTTCCAGGACATGTTCTATGAGGTAAATATACAGTGCCCTAAAGATGACACCAGAGGACTGGAAGAAGCTTTGAGAACAACTAAAGTTATAGACTGGACCCGTGATATAGAACTGATATACACTCAAAAGCATGTGATGCAATGTGTGATGAAAGTAATAAGGGATAAAAATATTGCAACAAAGCAAGTACTACCTTCAGTGACATTTTTCAAGTATAAGAACGACCCACTTTTTGACGTAAGGTAATTAATTATTCATAATTTTAAAATGATGTGTAGTTTATTTATTATTAATTTTATGAAATAAATTTTAATTTCAGTTTACCAAAAGGCTATAGTTTTGAGACGTTAACTCTAGAGCATGCAAAAACTGTAAATGAGAACCTTTATTTTAAATATCCGGGATCTAAAAAGTATATAGAGTCATTGATCAAAATAAATTTTGGGTATGGTTTATTTAAGGATGGTGAGCTTTTGTCATCTGCATTTAAAAGAGAAACTGGCGAAATGGCAATTTTATTTACACACGAAAAACATAGATGCAAAGGTTATGGGAATTTAGTGGTAAAATTAATATGTAACATTTTTCAAGAAAGAGGGAACCATATTTTCTTTTCGTGTGTGAAGGTTAATACTAAAGCCTTAAACATTTATGAAAATATTGGTATGACACATAGTTTTGAAGATGAATGGTGTTATTTTTCTAGTAAGAGATAAAAAATAAAATAAAAAAATATCTTTATCGTTTGAAGTGCCTTACGTACATATTTAAATTATTTATAAACGAATAATTTAAAATTAATGAGTTTTCACTTTTTATCGTAATGATACAAATAAATGATACAATAAATAATTTATGTTTCTTGTGTATTCGGTATGTTTCAGTGATATGACGCGATCATACCACTAAAATTTTATGTTTTCTATAATAATTAAAAAAGGGCTTTCAAAAATATTGAGTTACAAGATAGAAATATTTCAAATCTTTTTATCTCCAATAATATTTAATAATGTTGTTAATATCTTAGTAGATAAAGTAAAAAGTAACCCTAAACACTGCAGAGTAGTATTGGATGAGGTGGATAAATTCTGTGAGTGGATGGATGGAGTAAATACAAAACCAAATAAATGTCACTATTCCATGTCTAGGTGGGTGGAATGGAGGATATAACAGCCAAATCTCTTTACATACTTCTAAAAGACTCTACCCTTTCAGAACTATCATCAATTATTATTTCTTCGAACGTTCTTCGAAGGTAGCCCTAGTAAACAGTTCGTTTAAAAATTTTGTCAGGTAGAGAGAGGAGCTTGGACGGGAGACCCCTTAAACTTACACCTGAATCGCAAGTTCCAGTCACTGTTAAGATGCTTTTCCCTGCAACGCGGTGAACACGCATTCGCACCGTAATTTCATTGAATGCTAAGCAGTTTCATCTTCGGGCTACGGATAAAGACCTGGCTGAACTTCACTCTAGAATTACAAAAATCAGCAGTGAATATGAACTCTATAAAAACATAAACAAAACAAAATTAATGTTCATATCTAAAATAACGGTAAAAGGACTCGAGATGATTTGGAGAAACAGGGCCATCCACCGCAAAACACAAATTAAGCTAGTACGGACACTCGATTTCTCGATCTCTTCGAAATCTAGCTGCATGAACTCAAAGTAGGCGCTGATGAAAAATCCTTTGGATTTCGGGGACGGAACGCTGGGTAAATGACTCTATCTTCCACGAGTTGAACATTAGGATAAAACTATCCTCTATCCGCACACAAAGGACTCTCACATTCTTCAAGTTTATGTCCAGAGTTGATTTGGACAGTCTATTTATTTAGACTATCCAAACTCACTCGCACTATGGAGAGAAAGGGAAGCAGAGATGGGTCGATGCAATTGGGTAGGTCACAGGAATGAAGATACAGGCTAATTTCCATCTAAATCGAAGATTGTTTAACAGATATCTAATATGAAAACCTCCTTCCCAAACGTCTAAAACGATTAGAGCTATAATAAATTTTATGCTCACCGATGATGTTGAATAGTTGGGGCACGGTATACAGCCACAAGCCTTCTCCACGGTTAATGGTATCATAAAAAGCTTAATAATTAACTTTCATACTCTTAAAAACACTACTTAAATATTTATTAAATCAATAACGTATTATTTAAGTTTATTTTTGAAATTTTTTCATCTATTTTACAAAAGGCTAAAAACTCATTAAAAGAAGACTCTTTAATATATTTTTTGGGGTAAAATTTTACCGATAGCTCCATAATTTTTAATATGGCTTGAAGAAAAATTTCGTGTCTGCAAATTAAGTAGGTAAAATAATTTTGATAGGAAATCAACATGTTTATATTCCCTATAGACCATAATGATCTAAATAAAAGGTATATCATAGGGCTTGTTAAAGTTTGAATACAATTAAGATACTAATTATAATTGAAATAATAAAATTGATAAAAAAAACTTAAAAACAAGGAAGATGATAATGGCTGAACCCTTTTTTCTACTTTCCTGAGTATTAAATAATTTTATTTTGAAGCCTTTACATAAATTATAAGCAAAGTCCTAACATTGTGTGTTGCTATTAAGGGATTTCGTTATTAACATTAAACTGTTTGGCTTTATATCGTCTGCTTTAAAAATAAAACAATAATGTTTAATTAAAACAAAACATAAAAGAAAGTAAAATTAGTCATAAAAAAATCTTAAATGAATATAAATTTATACACAATTTTTTTTTCTTTACACTTCACTTACTCTCTGAATAGGGCGATGATAATCTTGTGAAATTTAGCGCCAAGAAAATACAAGCGTATATTTTCTCTCCGTCCAAAAGAGTCTGTTCACCTCGATTCTGAATTTCTAGAATATAAAAGCTTACACTTGTTATACGGCGACTATATTAGGTATTGAGTTGTCTGGGAATCTTAACTTAAGACTGATTATTATTGAAACAGAACAGTTTATGTTACAGACGATGAATGGCAGTTGATGTTAGAGAGTTTGGATAATGATCAATAACAATAAAATATTTAAAACATAAATAATTAATATTACCTCACAAAAAATATCATGCAACATATAAAGCTATTTATAGTTGTTTACATATCACATGTAAAGAAATAATCAAAACGCTGAATGAAAGTCTACAATAACACGTCATTCAATACCTCTATAAGATTGCTTTTAGAAGAGAACAATAGTGTTCATATTAGGCCGGAGTCCTATTGTATTGTACTTAATAAAAGTTTATATAAAACTCTCACTCAATATCAAATTTCAGTAAAACTATTACCTAAACGGTTTTTGTGTAACCGAGACAGTCATCCAAAAATATATCCATGCCATACTTAGAATGATCTGAATTAATAAAATAAGTCAATTAATTATAATTTAAGTATATATATAAAAGGCTTTGTAAGTTGAAAATAATGTATCATTATTAAAATTTTTGGCCTCGAAATTTTTTACAGGTTTTTACTCTTCATCACCAGACGCTTATAATTTGGTGTAATTTTTTATGTTCACTACATTTACTGCTAACAAAGTAAATTGGTCGATTTCTACATTGATAAAGAGATATACGATTTTGTTTTCATATATAATAACAATACTATATTTGTTTACACATCAACATTGATAGTTAGATTATTTCGTAAAATTTCTTTGTCTTGGAACTGATGAGCTGAAATTGTTCTATTTTTGCATTTTGTAACTATTTCAGTTACTAATATTATTATTGTAAATTCCGTAAACACGTGTATAATAAAACTGATGAAAAGTACGGTAAACAATATTAATGAAAATTGAAATTACATTATTTTCACTTCATTTTATATATATAGAATATAATATAGACGTAATATTATGAAGAAAGTTGCAATTTATTTTAAACATTAATTCGCAATACTCTGACATATGTTATTCATAAAATAAAAAGCAAATTGACCTTGGCTTAGTGGACATAGCCAAAAGTGGCAAATTAACACATTTGTTTTGTTCAAAAGAGTACATATGTATGGGTTTTGGAGAATTTACAACAAAATAAATCGTAAATGACCAACTAATGAGAGGAAAATATACTTTGCTTAAGACGCCTAAAGAAAACGAAAAACCACAATAGCTCCTCGACTAATTAGGCTTTCGCAGAATTGACAAAAAAAATGATATTTTGTAATGAAAATTAAATTTATCTAAAGCATCGCTGTTGTTGCTTTGTTTAATATAATATTAATGAAGTCTAGTTTATTATTTATCAGATAACTCTACATAATAGAAAATGTCAACATGCTCTTATCAGGAATAGTGTCGAGGATTCACAACAAAGTAATTAAAAATATATAATATAGCACGTTTCGTTTCTACAATAAACTTTTAATGACATATTTGTTAATATATATGTATCCATACACATAATATATATATATATATATATATATATATATAATGTGGATATGCTTGAATTCATTAGGACCTAAAATTAAAACATTCATATTGTCTATCCGTATATATATTATATACAACATTAAAATATATAATGAGATTCTTCTCGCAGTGTATTGCAATTCCGTTTTATATTTCCTATTTATCATATCTTTCCATAGTAAAGATTTGGAGACACAAAATTACGTAAGAGTTGTGTTACTCTTTAAAACTACCCACGTTTTGAAGCAGCAAAAAAAGTTGTCATTCCAGCCCACATTTAGGCTGAATTTTAAGAATAGTGCGATAATGTAAGGAAGGTTAATAAATCCTTATGATTTTTTTTTTTGGGTATTAAAATATAAAACGATGATAAGAAAATATGTGATAGGTATTTTATATCAAACAAATGGGTCGAGACGTTTCGACTTGTATTTAACTGCATTCGTTCAATGTGATGTTTTATTGTAATCTGTGACGATGCGTCATTCAATTCAAGGCAAGACCTCGTTCAGTGTTCACTTTGGTCGCGATGTCTGAACCTCTGCATTTAATGCCAGTCGAAACATGGGACGAAATAAAGAAAGTATTACATGCGGATTTTCCGAGATGTCTATCAGGCTATATATTCTTAGAGAATATGCAAGGTATTATGAAACTGAACCTTGATTACGGAGTCAAAGTTTATTGCCCTTATGGAAATCTGATCAATGGGATTGTAGCGCTGAATGTAAAGGTAAGTGCAAGTTCACTATATATAATCCATTAATTCAAATAGTTGTGAAATAATGTCTATTTAAAATAAATATTTTAATAAATAAATATAAATTTGCAGAATGATAACAGTAACAGGAAAACATTCATGGTCACTGTCTGTTTATAAACGATCAACTATCACAAATATGCTTTGTTTAGGCTTGTTGAATTTGTTAAATATTTTAATTATAAATTCAATAAATTTAAATAATATAAAAATGGTTATTTATAATACAGGTATAAATATAGGTTTTCTGATTTCGAAAAACCAAATTACACTATCAACATATAAATTCATAAAAACATTTTTTTTTAAGTTATTTAAGACTAACATAGATTAATATGTATTTTTATACTATGTTTTAATTGACAAAGGTAATTAATAAAAATTCTAGAATTCCTATTACGAAGTGGTTATCCAATGCCCTAATCAAGACACCACAGAACTTGAAGAAGCTTTGAAAACAACAAAAGTTATAGACTGGGCGCGAAAAATTGAGGTACCATACGCACCTACAAATGTACGAGACTGTATAGAAAGAATTATAAATGAAAGAAATTACACATTACAGTACATTGATATTACAGACACATTTATAATCAAGAAAAATGCAACGCCCTTCAACATAAGGTAGAGTTAAAATTGAATTCATTTAGATAGGAATTAATTTAAAATACTGCATTAAATTAAAGAAGAAATACATAATTGAAAAGGCACTTGTTTGTTCAAACGCTTAATAAAGTGATTTGAATTGATAATTCTCTCTAGGATAATTGATATATTATAAAAATATATGATTGAAGTGAATAATATATGAGAAGGTCCGGAATGCTTGATGATTGAATGGGAATAGAATTAAATACTAAATTATTAATTTTCGTATGTAACAAAAATGATGATGATTTATATGATTTCGTAATTATGTCAAGCGTAGCTCGTACAATAATTAATTTTTAAACATAACTCTATTGCAGACTAGCCCCGGAATTGTCTTTCAAGCTTCTTACTTTACATTATAAGGAAATTGTCAATAACACGTGGCCGCACAAATACCCGGGATCTGATTGGTATTTTGAATTACTGATAAAAGCCAATTTAGGCTACGGCCTGTTTAAAGGAGACGAGCTAATTTCGTGGGTTTTCATTAAAGAAATGGGAGCGCTCGGACATCTATACACTTTGGAGGAACATAGAAGAAAAGGTTACGGAGAATTAGTTTTAAAACTCATATCAAATATATTACTGAATGAAGGTAAATACGTCGTAGCTTTTTGCGTCAAAGGTAATGAGAAAGCATACAAGATGTATAAGAAACTGAATTTTGAAAATGTCCAACTTGTTTATTGGTGCAATTTTAAAGGTAATTAATCATTATAATTTTGATAAAAAAATCCAAATGTAATTATCAAAACGTTTTTAGTAATAATGCGACAAATTAATTAATTAATTATTTTTTTAAAAATAACCTTTATTCAAGGTTATTACAATCGCTATATTGTTAATATAACCAGCACATTTTGTTAATTTTATTTTTAAGTTATATCTATATATAGGTTGTCGTAACAAAAACGCAGAATAATACAACATTTTTTCTAGTTTTTAACATGTTTTACATTCAAACATAGTCATTAACATATCTATAATTAAACGACATCTTTTCTTTGAGTCAATATTATTAACGACTTAATAAAAATCTTATTTACAACATATTCTTCTATTGCAAATCTTTTAGATTTTTTAAGAGCTGAATAATAAAATTGCTTATATTATATCGTTTAGGATTCTATACTTTTATACCGAAAATTTAAAAACATGTACCGAAAATATCTAAAAGACAGTATATCTAAACTGATATATAGGAAATATATTAATTTGTAAGGTGGGAATTTTCAAAAACTATTTATGTTTGTTTATTAATTGTTAAGATACGAGCTTTTTTAATTGTTGATTGTTTAAAATAATCATTTAAGTGTTTATTATAATAAATTAAAACATACGAATATAATACTATTTCAAATTATTAAGAACCTTCTCCTCAATAGACGTTAAAGGAATCCTAATCGAATCTTTTTATACTTCGTTTTTTTGTTTGTTTTTTTATCCTATTTAATATCAAATTCTGTAAACTGTAAATTATGAACCAATGATAAAATAAAATTTAATAAATGCAGCCTAAAGATTATATACTATGCTTTGAATATTCGGAATAGAACCATAAAATTGTGTCAGGGAAATAACGCTTAAACAAGCAAGAGAAAGCGTCCAGAAAAAGTTGAGTTGTACTTACATCATAAAACAATAAACCTCCTACGGCGATGTGAAATTGATTGGAAATTGTTTAACTAACCGAAACCTATGTTAAGGGATAATAGTTTACTAAGTTAAATTGGCCTTTAACACTAATGTTTCGAGGTGGCTTTTATTACCTTACTTATTTTTTATTAAAAGATAAACTTGACTTCACAATAATTTTATTTCCAGTACGGAATCTTAGGACACTCATCTGTGTAGTCTTCCACCTTGTTGAACACAAATGATATTATTCTGAATGAAAATTATTGTTTCACAAGGTTAAAAGTTTATTTGTATAACTTAGGAAATCTTCAATATTATTCTTTTTTCATACGAACTTAAGTTTGAAGAATCTCTACATATAAGATGATCTTCAGTTTCAATATTCGACGAGTAAACCTGTATGATAAGAATAGGAACAAATTTATAAATTAAACAATTATATTTTTATATGTTGTAACCTATATTTCGTTTATAATGTTTATCTGACTCCTTCCTTATAATAATAAAAAAACAATTCAAAATAGAAAACAAGCACATGTATCTAAGATTCGTGATATTCTTCACTATTTTTTATGAGTTTTTGTTTATAAATTTTATGAACTAAACATTTAACAAATTTTACTTACTAAACTTATATATAAATTAAATTATAATAAATAATTTCTTATCTGTTTAATTTATAACCCAAGTACATCAATTTATATTCTATTCTAAAAATACATTAATAGATTAATATATACAAAAAATATATAATAGAAAGAATGTTATATATAAAACTATTTTATTTCGAAAAACCTTAATTAATTTTTATTAAAATAATTCATTAAGTGTCCTTAAAATAAGTTAAACTTATGATTTTATGTTAAATTTTAAATTTTAGTGACAAGAATAATTTCGATCACAGCAACGAAATAATATGAACGTGGATTTATTTTTAAAAAATATCATTGCTTCTTGTACTCTAAGTTGACAGGCAATTTTTCTATCTTAGCAATCTGCAAACAACAAAAAGTATTTATTAAAATTGCATATTTCGTGGTTTATTATCAAAATTAACAAATTTCTTTACGTATACATACAAAATTTTAATACAACAATGAAATAAACATTTATTATATCTTCCATCCAAATTACATTGAATAAAGTTTTTAAAGTCTTCTACAATAGTGAGTCTACCCAATTTTAGGTTACGTCTTGACAATAGATTCTTTTAATATAAATTGTGTCGTATTACAATGTATTGTAAGTTATTCTTTAGGTTATTACAAAACTATAGCAGTTTGTAATTATAAGGCAATATTTATATTGAGTAATATGTAGTAGTACTTTGATTTTACAAACAATAATTATATTATGTTGTAACACTGTTTTTGGAAATATTAAGATGTTCTCCGTCAAAACTGGCACCAAACGAATGATGTACATTTTTCTAAAGATCTATAACGTATAAAATATTTGTTTCATACATGAGTGATAAATAAAAGTGACTGAGACTTATGTCACGGCGAGCATGTCCCACCCACACAATCTGTCTATTAATCAGAATGATCTCCAATTCAATAAAGAGTTTTTTTTAAACAAATAAGTTGTTAAGTTTTTAGGTACATTATGTTAACTTAATGAGATCTAAGATTTTCGCGAGTATTCATTTAAATGAAATTATTTTTTTTTTTGATGTACTACATACGCGATTTTATTTTATAAAAAACTCCATACTCCCGACGTTTCCTCTACTTTACAGCAACCGTGATCACGAGCAGACGAGATGTGAGACGTGAGTGTCTGTCAGTTGATCTTGTTATTTTAATAATATTTTATTGCCATTATGTTATTTTAATAATATTATATTGCCATATAAAGCTGATCGACCACATTATATTTAGTTAAATGAAAATCAACACAATAAACAAGCAGATATTAGTAATCTTGTTAATAGAATTAATTACAACTAGTAATATAGTACAACCCTTACTACATTCTTACAAAAGAATGTTACAAATCTTATCTTATTACGTGAAATATAATTGTGCGTAAATGCAACAAAGGTTGGTTAATACGTTTTTTTGCCATTTTTCACATAGCACACAAAACGAATGACATTTGTAATGCTTTATCTCAGAATTAATATAATTACTTTCCTTAACGTAATGGCTTCGTATTGATCTGAAGTAGGCTTCATTGCGAAACCATTCTAGTAGCGCTCTTAATCCTCTAAAATTCACCAGAATTAGTCTTAAATTTCAACGCTATTCAAGAAAATGCTTATATTAATTACATTTGACTATAACATTTAAACTAATTGCTAGCATTTACAAATTTCAGTACTATATGAGTTTAAAAAGGACCTACATCTTCTTTAGTTCTTTTAACCTATTTTTGCGTCTTTATTCCATAAATTATGAAAAAGGACAATTTACCTGATCTGTCCAAGTAATGACTTACAGATGTTAATAGTTTTCGATATTTTCTTGCTATAAGACTACTTGTCTTTTGGACTATAACAAAATTCTTAAATTGATGGATGTCCTCTTAATATTTGAATCAGTCCAAGACCTTGTAATCCGTATCTATGGAAGGGTGAACCATATACCAGCCTGCGTGTGAATATATCGCCATTATGTGTCTCCTCTACGAAATGTATGGACTTCATAGATGGAAGCAGATTAAAAATTTATAGTGACAGACTTTCTTTTTTTTGTGATAAATATGCGGACTCTTTTTGTATTCTGTGAGTATTTATTTATTATTTACATTTAATGTTTAATAGTCTACATGTCATTTTTTAATTTAAGATATAAAAGGAACTAAAATCTCCCATCTTTAATAATAAAGGGACTGAAGTTCATGTACAATTTTTTGATGCATAAATACATACTTGCTCTATACAATTGTTAATTAAGAATTTACGTATGTTTTTAAGAATTAATTACAAATAAAATTATCAATGACGACATGTAGTCAGAAAATATACTTGTTTATTTAAATGTTTTTTTTTCCAACAAATTTGGTGGATCACGTTTTGGACAATTTTTTTTGTGTACTATTATTTACATACATACCTAAAAACTATTATTTACATACCTAAAAACTATTTATTATATAGTTAGAATTAAAAAGTTAAATTTACCGTGATATCTGTAATGAAAAGGTATTTTAAATTTTAAAATACTTTATGATTGAATTGCAATAGTAAGGACTTTTCGTTATAACGAACAAGCTGATGGTACGTCATCTCGCTTCAAATCTGTTTAATGCAGAACGGTACTGCGTCTTGAATATTGAAAGTCGTCACACACATGTCATCTTACTATAGTGGATTTAATATCTATTTTATCTCCATACTGATATCCGGATATTCGAGAAATTCATCCTCATACTCCATGAATATTATGATAATAAATTCTTTACATTATACTTATTAAAAAAAAGATTACTTTGGTATATAATCTATAAATATAACTTAAAACAATGGGTTTTTTCTTTTATATTTAACTCGAAAACAAGTTAAGTCAAATAAATATAAATGCCTCTTTTCATTCCATAAAGATCTGAATATTATATTCTCTTTATGTATTCTCATTATGAATTTTATATAGAATACATTTTCGCAGCGATTTTTATATTATTTAATACATATTTTCATTTTATTTGCTCTATATAACTGTAAATTACACGAGAAATAAGATAATTATTGACTTATCTACTTTCTTTTGCATTAATTTTCCGGGATATATGAAAATTAAATTGTGTAGTACGTTGAATTGTAAGAAGATATCAAAGTTGACGCGAAAATAACGTTGAAGTAATATCAGAATGCTTTGGACGCAATAAAAAAAGCAGCTAATGAAATATTAAACCTTAATAAATATAAAGTACTTAATATATTTTTATTGAAACTAAATGTCATTTCAAAACAATTTTCTCGTCTATTTATCTACTTTCAAATATTTTGATGAAACTTATGAAAATATTGTTTAGCAGTTCCTCTTGGGACTTTTGAAAGTATATAGACGATTCTTATCAAAGCATAAACTTTATTCTTTGTTGAAGTTTTTAAGGAAAAATCAAAACGATACAATAATAAAACTGAATATTCGTTTCTCCCCTTTTTATTGCAACGTCATAGAGATCGCCAAAATAATAAATGTAACGTTAAACGAATGTAAAAGAAATAAAATAAAAAATAGGAATTTTCCACAATTAATTTTGATTATGAAAAATCCTGATTCCCTAAATAAAAGTAGATCAACTTGCCCTTTTAATATAAAACATTCTCATAACATACTTAACAAACTTTTTGCTTAAAATAGTGAATTGATTTGATCTTGAAAATAAACCGACGAAATTAATATAAGGCCAACGTGGTTAACAAAACTGTCGTCCATCGTTTACGTACGTTTCTTAGACCCAGTTTCACCAATCAATGTTTGTTAAATCTAATAATAATCTAACAAACCTTCAAAATTATAATTGTCTGTTAAAATATTTACGTTCCACGATAACAAATTAACAACGTATTATTAAATGTCATGTTGTATTTCTTTGACGGATTAGTAAGGAATTAGGAAATTGTTGATAAGAAGTTTAGTTACTTGTAATAAGGGATAATTTAAACATTACATTTATTCTTTTCACTCATTCTTAAAGTCCATAACTTTATTTATTTACAAAAATACATAAATAAATTATTCTAACACTTATTGAAGAGACTAGTTGATTTCTAACATTGTTTGATCATATTACTCACATGAAAAAGGACGAATTCATTATATTATGAACATCTAAAATTCCTTATCCATACAAAACTATTAGACTATAAGACTATTTATAACTCTGACGGACAGAAAAGATTAGTTTCTCATTACATAATACACTTGTTTGTTCATTTATTGTGATTAAAATATTTCTTTCATTAATTAAATGTTCTTTACATATATGTATAACTTCTTCTTCTTCCTGGCAATTTCCCAGCTTTAGCCAGGGTCTGCCTAAACCTGGAAATTTCCCGGCTATAGCCAGGGACTGCCTTACTTGTTGTGAATAGTTTTGGCTAATTGTTTTTTACGACCGGCCGCCTGCCTGACATCAACCCTCTTTTGGGAATCAGCATTAATCAGTGATGTCTAAATATTCTTAGAAAGTACATATGACTCGGAATAATCATATTGGTACTTGCCCGGGCCAAGATCGAACCCGCACTCTCGGCAACGAGAGGCGGGCCCTCTAACCACTAGGCCACCACTGACTTTACATATTGATATATTTACCTTCAGACTGCTTTTTTTACTTTATTACACACATTTATATAATTATTTAAAATAACGTATAATTTTGATATTTATGAGTATTCTTTTTTCTATTCACTCGCTTATTAAGTACAAGTTTTCAGATTCACTATATATCTGCATATTGCTGGATATAAAAATTATGAAATAGCATTGATTTTAATAAATTAAAGTTACTACAAAATGTATAAATATAAATAACCCATGGGAACAATATGTTATCGTTCCTCGCTTTTTACGAGTGTCGTCCAATAAAAAAGACTTGTTTTAGTTTTAAGAAATATAACTAATAGTTAATTTACGTAATTCAAAGAGTACACTACCACAAAAGCAAAAAGAATACAAGCGTAATAAAAATCTTAAAATTTTACTCTAAATTTTTCTATACTATTCAATACTAATAAAACGACAATATACAAATTAGAAAATTGAAATCTCATCATAACTTCCTCTGTCAATAATATCATTTGCCATTGAAATCAAATTACCTACATTCATACAATAGCTGATAATTTATGTTCAACTTAATCATATTACGTGTTGATTGTTTTAAACCATTGAAATGTTTTTTATTAGTCATTATTATCTCAATAAAAATACTTGAGAAATGTTCTTTGTAATATACCTGTTTGCAACATGTATTGTGTTTCTTGAGAACCACGAAATTGTATTATATGTCCTGGAATGATAAATAAAAAAAAAACTTCTGTCTTTCTGTTTGTTTAATTTTGACGGTTCAATCAATTTCATTGAAATGTTAATCAAATAATGGATATGTCTGTGAGAAACTTATATGTACTAAAAATATTAATAAAAAACTCATGGTGCAAAGTAAAAATTTATTATAAAATATATTATGGTCTTGCACACATATGTATGTACATCTTATATTTTAATAATCATAACAAAATACGTAAAATTAGTGTACGTATTATTTTTATTGCATTAAAGAACTTCATCAAAATTACATACTTCATCCATGAAGCCTTACTGTATACACGTCAAAGTTGTGACTGTAAGCTATATATTGAAAATAGTACACATTCTATTTTCTGCTATATTATAATATACTTATTAAATATACCTATATGTAAGATTTTTATAAATCTCTTATTTTGGAGACAATCTAAAGGAATTCTGAGATATTGCACCTTTTTTTGTTTTTGTGTTAAAGATTGGATGATCAAAAAGAATTAAATAAGTCAATTAATTAAATTAATTGTGTAGTTACATACTTTAAAGTTGTACAACTTAACGTAAACTGTCTTTATATCACTTTTATTAAATATTAAAAAGTCTTAGGTTGTTGTTATTAGAAAAATAAAAACTGTATTATCTTTACTTGAATAATACAGTTTTAACTTAAATTGTACCTAAATACATACAGAAATACAGGGACTTACAATGAACCAAGATACATTTAATACCAAATACACAAATTTTAGCAAACGTAATACTTAAATAATATATTCAATCTTCAGTGACTTTTGCAATTCTACGGAGTACAGCACAAAATGAAAAAAGTCGTCGACCTTTTGACAATGGACACGGCTTTGAGGTCAAGCTTGCCGTACCAGGAAAGCCTGGAAATGACTATCCTATTTTTGATGAAATTCCCAGAACCTCATTTACTTGTTCTGGAAAAGAACCCGGTAAGTAACTACAACATCTTCTTTAAATTAATAAACTTTAAGACGACAAATGTCTTTGTAATGACATAAAACATATTTTCACAACTTTATACATATTTAAAGAAACGTACATTGAAAATAAATGACATGTAACAATGAAATAGAATAATATTTTATTTTTAAATTAAAAATAAAATTTTGCGATAGGAATCAGATTTTAGCGAAGAAAAAAACTGTGAGCTTTACTTTAAATAAAGAACGAAATACTTAAATGTTTTCATGTTCTTATAATAATCTTATATACTTTCCAGGTTATTATGCCGACATGGAAACAAATTGCCAAGTATTTCGAGTGTGTACATTCGGTTCAACTTTTGGCTACCAATCATTTCTATGTCCGAATGGAACCTTATTCAATCAAGCTGTCTACGTATGTGATTGGTGGATGAATGTTAATTGTTCAAAGTCAAAAGAACTCTATAATTATAAAAGTGAATTATTAGATTTAAGGAAAGGACCACATTTTATGAGGGACATTAAAAAAATGATAACACATCCTATGAGAAACCCTTATAATGAGAGCTTTGCCAAAGATCGTTTAATTAAAATTCAAAATTATCAACCTACGAATAGCCCTTTTAATAGCATTTCTAAGAATGATGCACCAAAAAACTCCAGCAAAATATCTCAAGTAAGAGAAAAGATATACAGCACAACTGATATCTCAACTGTTACTTCGAAACCTACAACCTATTACTATTCAAATTTTAATATTTTTCCAACAAGTAATACAAGTTATAACTCCGTACGACCGCAATCTCAAAAATCATTTCCTCAACATAAATTGGGAACAAATTACAAACAACGTCAATTTTCTAACAGTCATTCAGGTCAAATCTTACCAAATAAGACAAAAAATGTGTTAAGTTATACAAAATATTCGCAAAATATTGTAAAACCAACTCAGTCAAATCAAAAAATTCAGCAATTTTTGAATCATCATAATACCCAAACTCCGCTAAATCAAGAAAATAGATTAGGTATTAATAGCCAACAAAGCCATCAAACACAAAATACTTTAAGTAACAACCAATCCAAGGTACAACTAAATCGGCAAATATTACAAGATAAAGAATTGTATTCCAATAAATACAATCAAGCACGCTTTTCAAAAGATATTAGGAATCAAGTCGACATAAAATCAAAACAAAACTTGGTAAGTAATGATACCTCACCTACACTTATAAGAAAAACTTTAGCGTATCGAAAAATTATAAAAGATCCTAAAAAGGGAATTCCAAGATCTAAAATAACATTTAAAACATGGATTTTAAGACCCTCCAAAAGTGAAAAATTATCTGCGGAACCCACTCCATACACTTACAATAGACCACAAATTACCATACTTGACGATAACGATTCAAACGTCGTTAGTAATACTTCTGAGGAATCTGAAGATCATACTAACCTTGATTTAGAACCCTATCAATATAATCCACCAACAGGCCCCAGCGCTCTAACTTATGAAACAACGACTGAAATTCCCTTAACAACTGAAACAAGTCTTAAACCTTTGGAACCAACAAATCCTTCACTTTTATATCTACCTCCAACGACTTATAAGGCACCGGCACTTTTGTATAATTTTCCGACAAGCAATATTCAAACAGAACGTCAGTATTTACTGCCAGAAATAATACAGCGTCCTCTTATAGAAATTGGTAGTTCTCCTGTACCTTTTAAACAATCACTTACAAACATAAAACAGCCTACTTCCCCTCTAAGAAAAGAATTTTCAACAACAATAAATCACAATAATAATTTATTTTCAAATTCACTGGTAAAAAGTAACTTAGACAAAACTATAAAAGATTTACTGAAAGATACAACTAAATTATTTAGAACAATATCGCCTAACAACATTTATGGGCTAAAACAAGAAATTCAAACAATTGATTATCCTGATGAAAATTACTTACCACAAAATCAGGCTCATGACAAAGCGTTACTACAAGCTCCTACAGAATTACTCAAAAATTCTAACCTTATTGCAACGCCATCAATTGTACTACAACCACCAGATGAAAGTTATGAATACAGCCTTAACAAACCTAATAAACTATCTTATTTATCCTTCATAAAACAACCAAGTCTTCCTACAATAGAAAGAACAGTTTCCATTAAAATCACTATGCCTCAAAAAATTGCTGACTTTATATTTAATAAAAATGTTTCTGATACTTTAGAAATCTTAAGCACAGAAAATACAAACTCCTTTGTGGTGGCTAATAAAATGCCAGACAAAAAAGACTCTCATCAATACGTTCCTATTGGCAAACTTGTTTGGAATAATAATTCTGAAATTTCTCCTTCACAGGAATTGCTTTTTTCTTTTTTGGCAGACTCTATTAACGCTGCTCAAGAATATAATAATATTGCCAAACAGGCAAACTATCAGCCAATACCAACACATTCTACAAACCTAAATAAAAATGAAATAGGATCTATATCTGGTAAAATAGCACAACTGACATCAGAACAATTTTCAAACATCAAGCCCTCGAGTAACGATCTACTTTCGAGAAGAGCAAACCCAAATAATTTAAATAATGACTTACTAACACGCGGCTACAAACAGATAAAAACCGATAGTTCAGTTAATTATGACCAAAAGAAAACACAACAAGAATCAATTAATGCTAAACAAATCACTGACAATCATTTCTCTGAAATTGATTCAAATGTGGAACCTATATACAGCGGTCAATTGTACCAACTTCCAGTTCCAGAAGTTACAAAACAGTTTTATAATTTACCAACACAAACGAAAGACATTTACAGATTAAACTATGAAAGAGAAAAAAGCGAAAATAAATACAAACAATTACAAACTGAATTTGAAATGACGAAATCACAAACAGTATCGCAGGAATCTAATCTTAGTAAACAAAATCAGAAACCAATAGCTCAGAGAACTACAGCTTACAACTTTGAAGACACCCTTATTATACCTAGCGACAGAGTAGCTGCACAAATACACGACAACACAATAGGAATTATTCCTCATCCATTACAAAAAGATAAATTAATTAATTATAAGAAAGACCACATCTACTATATTTATACACAACTAAACGATACTGATATAAACGAGTTTAAGAAAAACAACATACTTAAAGGGCCTTTCATTTCAAGACCAAACAGCAAACTTTCGGAACTTATAGATAATATAATACCGTCACTTAAATATGACCTTGAAACTGATACCCAAAAACAGAGTACACCGAATATATTACAGGACGACAACTTAGGTATACAAAGCCAAGAGATTGGTGCTGATATCAATTACATAATCAATCATCCTGAAACAAGAAAACCATTCGATAAATCCTACCAGGGCCCATCATCATACAATGCACCTCAAGCGATAGTTGGCAATTTGGAATTTAATAAAAACTCAATAGAACTAAATGAAGATATAGAAAAGATCGATGATTATGAAATCAACGGTTATCCGAAACTCGTTCCTACAAAACGATTTTCATTTAGATAAATAGATGTACCTTTACACATTTTGAACGCTTCATGTAAATATTATGTAAAATAAATATGTAATTTTATGACGTCATCTTTACTTTTTATAATCCCATTATAATGACTTCTGAGCGTGTAATAAATAAATCATATTAAATGTTATACAAAAAGAATATTACATATTTTAAGATAGACTAATGATACAATAAAAAACCGGTAGCCTAGCATCTTTTAAAACTTTTATTTGTGAACTCAAGTAATTTATTCGGAGGGATAAATATATAGTTAATTCGAAGTTGATATTATTAATTACATAAAAAAGTTAATAAAAATAAAACTATCTCTTGCAATTGTTGTCTTGCTTATCTCCTTCTGTACCTATGTATGTACATATGGGAAAATGAACACGCTCGTCATTCTTAACCTCCGCTGTTGTTTATTAAGACAATCTTAACAAAATGTAGAAAGTAACTATATACTTAAGGGCGTCTCTAATCATTATTTTGTACATAAATTATAAATTGATCTTTAACCCATAGTACGACAAAGAAAAACTTATTCATTCGGAGCTCATTTCGTGCACAGAATTTTGCAATTCATCTTAAGGCAAGTTTCATTCAATCATTGGATATTTGCGTATATTCGTATTCCAACAAATGAATTAAAGATTGAATTGATGATAGAAGAATTTGAAAATTTTATATTTTACACCCTTAATTTAATCATTCTTTTAAGTTTATTATATATTTTTTTCTTATAAACACTATTCAAAAATAATTAAGTTTTTTTTTTAGATTGAAAATAAATAACAGAGGTACTTATTAATGATTGAAAACATGTATTGCTTTTAAAATTTTGATTGCTATTTAGACCCATGAAGACGCAACATATGTATATATGTATCTATATATATAAAAATGAATTGGTGTTCGTTTGTCTCACAAAAACTCGAGAACAGCTAAACGGATTTATCTTAGTCTTGAAATGTTCGTGGTAGTTCAGGGAAGGTTTAAAAGCTGAAAAAAAATTAATCTTTTCCAGGAAAATCCTAAAAACAGCCCTTTTTTATTTCCTATACAAACATTTTTTTGACATTACATTTGACAACTAACTAATATGTCAATATTTTTTGTTCGATTGAAAAAGGAAAAAATTAATAAATACCAATACCTGGTTATTTAGGACGGAATAGAGTGCCCCGGTCAGCTGTACATAAAAACTAGTATATATATAAATTATGTACATCATACACGTTGTGTGACCTAAAGTTATATTATTAAACCACTTAGATTATAAAAAAAGAAACTTTTACAAATAAAGAAAACTATAAACGCAATTCAAACACATGTCACGTTACTTAGAAACTCATTGTCATAGCAACAAGTATGTTTATGAAATAAAAAGCGAAGCGCTTGTTGTCGCTTCTTCTGGTTATTAGGATAGCTGATGTGAATTTTATTTATTATTAGGATTCGGATAAGAATTTATTGATACTATTAACATGGAGTAAAATCTAGTATAAAGGTGAGATATATTAAACCTGTCAATAATGGTTACTTATGTTTTTTTAGCACGTTTCAAATAGTATAATAGAATTTGGTAGCCGTATCATCACGCACATTGTAAATGATAACTGCTTGGTGTCAATTTACATGTTTACAATAAATAATACATAATCACGTTATTATTATTAAAGTTGTTTAAATGTTTTATAATATTGGCTATTTGATAGACATGCATACAATAAATTATAAAAAGAATTAAACCTAAAACCTTAATTACTTATTTAGCAGGCGTAAATACAACAATATTTTTTTACTATTTGTCTAATCAATTATATTGAAATGTGAACTACTATACCAAGTAGAAGTTAATGTTGTACATAACACTTTTTAAACCTTGTCCACTCTTAATAATTAATAAAATTTAAAGCCTGCGAAATTTGTGAAGATTTCCGAAAATGGCAGACCCAGACGTAGATACCGTCTCAAATGCATCCGAGAAGCCAAGCGCAGTAGAAGAAGAAGTAGATATAGACTTACGAAATGATCCTCGAGTGCAATGGCTAAAGGAGAGGATCCTTAATTACATCGGCATCGACGATGAAGAACTGTTTTACAATATGGTGGAAGAAGGAGATGTGAAACAAAAACTAGCAACATTCATCACATCACCCCTGAAACCAAATGAATTGTCTTTAGATAAAAGAACATTTTACGTCGCAAAAATAATAGTGGACAAACTTATTCATGAAGATAAAGAATTCACTGAGTGGCGTACGTAAATTTAAAATTAAAATTGCCAACCTCAAATATCCTTAAATAGTATAAATGTGTTTTCCAACAATAATTTTTAATGTTTTAAAGGAATCATTCCACCACCACCGCCTCCCCCACCACCGGCCAGAAAAGGTAGGAGAGGCAAGAAAAAAGGAGCAGCCCCACCAGAACCTGAACCCGAAGAAATGGAAGAAGAGAAAAAGACTAAAAGCATGAAAAGTATGAAGAGTATGAAGAGTATGAAAAGTATGAAAAGCATGAAAAGTGTGAAAAGTCTGAAAAGTGCAAAAAGTGTAAAAGGTACATTAACAGAATCAAAATAAAAATAGACCTAATACTTGCTTTTTTCATTAACAAGATTAATTTTACAGATGCTGAGGCTGAAGAAGGTAAGTTTTTTTAAACATTTTTAAAACTTTACCTTATTTAATTTACTTACGAAACATGATATTGTCTTTTAGATGAAGAAGTTCATACTGTTGCTGGAGCCGTTACAGATATATTCGATATTGACGAAGGAATGAGAACAGAAATAGATTTACGAATAGAGGAGGAAGAACCTCCTGTCGTAGCCGAAGACCTATACTCGTTTCCACCACGTAAAATTAATTTTATTATTTTTTTAATTCCTAAACATATTAATAAAGTATTTTCTGAGACCAATATGATATCTGAAAAGTCTGTATATACTAAATTTAATAATACTTACAGCTCCCGAAGATTTAGATCCAGCAGTGGATGGTACATTAGAATTTTACACTGTCATTGTAAGCAAAATAAAAACTGTCTATTTTCTCCTTTGTTTTTATTAATTCAAATTTGATACAGTAGTTTATTTAAAAAATCAATATTAATATTACAGCGACCAGTTCCACGTGTTATCCAATATCCAAAACTAGTGCCAGTTTTTGGTGCATTCACACCACAAGTAACTCACCGTAACCGAAGATATCTCTATTTCATCAGACAAACGCAGGACGAAATACCGCTTTTGGATAGTGATTACAAAACAAAGCTCAAGATGCCAGAATACGTGTTGGTTGGATTAACATCAGGAAAAGTTCTCATGAGTTTGGGATTACAGTTAAAGGAGGTGAGATAAAACTACTTCTGTTATAAGTCACGTATATTATATGCATTAACTATTCTACTTTATTAAGAAGTTTGGAAAATAACTTGGAATTGGTAGTAAATGATTTCATTTTAAATGTTTCAGTCATTTATTTTGTTGTTCACTCGTCAATTCCGTGAAATTCACTCAATGCATGCAGAGCCGTCTACTACGACGCTATCTCGTCAGGTATCTTATGCTGGGAAACACTATGAAATGCATGACACTACTTCAGAGGTATATGTTTATTTTCAACCCTACTGTAGGAATGTTTTAATGTGATCGATTACATAAATATTACCGCTACGATTATTATATTTAAGGTAAATTATTTGCGACCTTCAGACTACCGTAGAATGTCCAATATTGTCAGAGGGGAAAATGCTGAACGAAGGTTTGTATTCAGATAATATTATTATTTGTATATAATTTTTAATTTCAATAAATTAATATAATACATAACATTACCTTTTTTTTAGAATCAAAAATATGAGATCAGAATCTAAGGCCTATACATATAAGTTCAAAGTTACAAGGCCGACTTCATCAGTTCTTCAAAGGGTATGATTTAAAAACACCTTTCAGTTTCTACTAATAAAGGAAGTAATCGAAGAAATTTTATGGCATTTAATTAATTGTATGCAGGAAGAGTCTGAATTCGAAGCACCAGTACTAGATCTCCAAAAACCGGAGAAAGAACACAAGCCGGCGGCGTCAGAAGTTATTCATGACATTCAAGATCTTGTTGGAATCGTTGATTGGTAAAATAAAATGCTTTAATCTAACTCAAACAAATAAAAACATATATCCATTCATTATTTAATATATGTTCAATGTGTTCATATAAAAATGTCATTCTTAAAAACTAAAAATCGGTTGTTGGATTTATTAAATAGAAACCAAAACATTTCGGAATTTCTATTTTAGTATATAATATTAAGCTTCTAAAATAATTCTTAGCTATACTATTTGGTTAAGCATTAGATTTTGAGTTTTCCATTTCAATTCATTTATAAGCCGATTACATACATTTACGCGTTTAACTCAGCTTTTACTATTTACTACCTAATAATCCTATACTTTTTTCTCTAAGTATTTAATTATTACCAAAAATTTAATAATGTGCAGTATTATATAAATATGTACAGTTATATAGAATCTATTTCTACTTATGTTTTGTTTGAATTTATTGTTTTAATTGGAATAAGAAGGAATTCATTATATCACGTCTCGTTTTAATATATCAGAACTCAACTTGTTATAACAACTACACTGACAAGACAGTTCTAGTCGGAAACATTGTAACTTTTCTCGTCCGTACTTCATAATCAATACCATTAGCTGTCAATATAATCACTATTAAAATGTTAGTTCGTTTTATTATTGGCTATACTTTGAATCTTGATACTATCTAAACTTTCGCATTAAATTAAAATCACCAAAAACTTTACCAAATATAGGACAATACAGCACATAGAAGGTGAAATAAAACTTCCAATGCCGAACATACCCGCTCTCACAGAGGAGCTCCACCCGGGGCATGTTGCGTTTAAAGATCCTGAATTGACTTCACAATTGGAAGAAGCTGTCATTATGTGGCAAACTCACATTGATAATACTATATCTGCTTGCTTGGGAAAGGCGCGTTATAATCATCTGATCATTTTTGAATAAATTACTCAAAAATACAATGATAATAAAATTTATTTTATATTTTTAGACCCGCGAAGGTGAAGGCCCAGTTGCTGAATATAAATACTGGCGTGAGAGGGACGCAGAAATATCACTATTGGTTGAGCAATTGAAGCAACCTATGGTCGTCAAAATTCTAGCTATGCTTAAAAAGTCTTCTTCCACTGTTATTATGGTAGATATATATAACAAATATTGGTAGGAAGTTCTCAGAATAAAATCTTCATAATATTATTTCCTTTCAGGGTTTCGACAATTACAAAGAGAGACTTATGGAACAATATAATCTCGCCGGTGACAATTTGAAATTTCTATCTACCCTGATGCGTTTCTTTACGGTAAGCAACAAAGCGTTCTATACGTAGAATGCATCGGTGTAACTTTTTATTGTTTTTTTAGATTATAGAAGACGATTCGCCACTTCAAAATGTAATAGACATGTTACCTGAAATGGTTGAAAGCATTTATATGATGTGGGTTTTGTCTAAAGGCTATCGCAATGATGAGACCATGATACCCTTATTAGAAAGAATATCGTGGGCTTTATGCGACAAACTTGAAAGATTTTTAAATGTGCACAAACTGTTTGAGTAAGAAACTCTTTAAACACACTACTAATCACTACCATAATTCGCAGCTATATTTTAAAATAAATTCTAAATCGCTATGTATCGCTATTTTTTAACTTAAAATGTGTATCTTAAAAAATGAAAAAGTGACAAAAATTTATATCATTTGAATGTATTAAATATGTATTCAGATAATTTAAAATGAATTCAAACTTTCATTACAGCAAACCCAATGAAGAAATTCTTTCATTAGCTCGTGCTGGACAGAAAATAATGGAAATGTGGCATACGTTATACAAAGAAACCAGAAGAAACATCGAGGTTAGTGGTAAAGGAGCACGGTGGGAGTTTGATCAGCCCCTTCTATTTACTAGGACTGATTACATCGGAACAGTGGCTAGAGACCTAGGAGATGTTATTCAGGTACAATGAGTGTTATTTGAAAAGTAATTATATTAAATATTTAAAAAATATTAACTTAAATAATATTTTTAATCTAGGTTCTCATCGACTTTGAGCGAATATTTGGTAATGAACTGAAATCCATAATTAGTGATCCAACCCAGATTGACGATGTTCGTAAACGTGTGAAAAGACTGGTATTTCCTATACGTACTATCGATTTTAGTGTGTTTGTATTTGACAATAAAGAGAACTGGGATGTTATCATGGGAGATTTTTGGACAGAAGTTAGATATTTAGAAGACGAAGCGAAAAATTATATTAACCATAGTTTTGGAAACTTAAGGTATAATCTAATGATATTTATAATTTTCTATATCTACAATTTTCTATATCTCGTAGTATTTTAGGTCTGCTGAAGAAGCCCTAGACGTACTTCTTAAGTTCCTAGAATTTGATACCAGAGAGTCAATAAGAAAACAGTTATCCACAAAGTTTGACTACATTATGCGACAATTTATCAAAGAAATTACCGTTATTGAGGACAGATTTACCGTAAGTATTTAATTATATAAGATTACATGTTACATATATAATATATTTTTTATACTTCATCATATTTATTATCCAGCGATTCCGAAAAAATCCACCTTTGCTGCGAAATCACCCACCAGTTGCAGGTGCAATCTACTGGGCCAGAGCACTATTTAACAAAATAAAAAGGCCTATTATGAAGTTCCAAAAGGTAAGTTACAGTTATACTAGAAAAGAACTTGTCGATCTTTTACAATAATCGAATATAAATATCCGCATTTATTTCGATATTCGAATGCTAAGATGATAAATAATAAGAAAAAAATACAAGATTCATTTTCTAGGTACCTGAACTTAACAATTGCGAAGAAAAGAAAACTGCTTTCTTACAATATAAAGCGTTTTCTAAAGTTATTAAAGAGTATGAAGAAGCCAGATATCAGGACTGGGTAAAGGATGCCTCGGACTTTGTAGACAATGTAATGAAGAAAAACATTCTACATGTTGTCTTCAAGAAAGAAGAGGGTAATTAGTTTTATTGGCTTAGTTTATCATATTCAGCTCGTTTATTAACAGTTTGTATGTATGCCATTAGAACCATTACCCACAAAAGGACGTGGAATGCAACTAACTGCTGCAGGGAGAGCTCATGTGGCTAAGAAAAAGGCTTCAAACTTGTCAATAAAACCTATTGATATTGTTAATAAGGAAATTGCTGATAAACGCAAGAGAGACAAGGCCTGTAAGGATACTTTCCAATACATACAATGTTTTTTTTAAGCAACCAAAAGAAAAAGGAATTAATTTATGTAATTTACCTTTTTAGTAATGTTAATGAGGATTCCTGGTCAGCATTATGAAAATGTCAGATCACCGAGTTCTATATCACTACTGGCAAAGGAAGGATTAGTGAGTCATAATCAATATTTGTTTAAAAAATGATCTCTAAATACAAATATTAAAGAATTATTTTATTACAGACTGACGTTACTTGGAGGGATATGACCGTACATAAGCTAATGCAAGAGTACGGGCTAGAGTTTGAACCTAACTTTGATAAACATATTTTTCTAATTATACATGAAGCTGAACTCATGGAAAGACTGGGTAATATTAACTTTCATAAATTCACGTTATATACTAGTAATATAAAAATATTATATTTAAACGGGATTATGGAAATTATGTATTAGATATGTTTTATATATCTTGCTTCACGTTTTGAACCAGTTCCACTGACTATTGGCTGAAGCAGACCGTTAAGCGATATCCAAAGCAAACGAAATATATAGAGTATATGCTTAAAATAATATATTAAATAATAACTACACTCAAAAATTACTGTATTTGATACTGAATTTGTGTTACTAAACGGAAAGAAAACCATATCTTGTTTTTAAAAACCTCTTTCCGACTGAAGTTTCTAAGTTTCGAGATTTCAATCGCTTTTTGTAAGCTTAATTTATCGGCATCTCTACGTTTTGTTTCTTAGGATAATCTCAATTTTAAATTCATGTTTGTTTTGCCAGGATATTAAATGTAGCCTCATTAAAACAAATATCCAATGGCTTTATATGAAGTTGTTCCTAAACCATCGTTATTCGGATAAAGAGCGACATCGCTTTAACATTCCACTTGTGATCGTGGAGAGGTCAAAGGAAAGTGAAAGTCAATGCAAGAGATATAATACAAAATATACGATACATGATGCGATATTCCCGTGTTTCAATACTATATTTTTGGGAATTAAAGCCAAATTATATTTTTAAAAAAATCGAGGGCATCAAATTACAATTATTTATTTCTAACTTACAAATTTAACTTTAAAAAAAAAACGATAATGCAATATCAATATTCGTAATTAAGAAACAGTCATTAGTCATACAACATTAATAAATCGAATGTGGGTACTCTGAAAACTATTTACTGTCAATAGCGACGACACCACACAACGAGAACCGTTTCGCAGAAAAGCCAACCAGTAAAATGACTTATCCCTCAAAATACCTTCACTTTTATAGAATTTATGAGGTTCTAAATGCATAAAATAATCCCTAATTATCCTAACAACATTTATAAAACTGAAAAATATTTTTGTCATTATGTTAACGAATTTTTATATTTCAAATTCCAGGCTTTGATCTACCGTCCAACATTCGAGATGTGTCAATGCAAAAGGCTCGACTTTACTATGAACTTGAAGCTTTGCAGAATGTGATAGAAAAGTACAACACCAGCGCAACATCGCTCAGTCCATCTGAAACATATCTGATGAAGAAACATTTGCTAGACATGGAAAGACACATTTTGCCAGGATTAACTAGAATTACCTGGACAGCTTTAGGAATTAACGATTATATCAAAGATATAACTAAAGGTCGGTATAACCTTAAATAATTGGGATCCTTATAAGTAAACTTGTGTACGAATTATATTTAATATACTGACTTTTAAATAAATACTTCCTAACGTTTATTCTTTAGGTGAGAACTCATTAAAAGCTGTATATCAACAATTAAAAATGGTTGAAAAGGAAATACAGTTTTTACTTGACCAAATACAAATGTTTGACTTGTTCCCTTTCGTCAAACCCAAAAAATACATTGATCCGGTAACTAAAGAACCCGATGACACGTGGCTGTATCCTTGTAAGGTACTTTAGTTAGTATAAGTTTATTAAGGCTAAAAAATGCTCGTTGTGAAACTTAAAAAAAAAAGGTCGAAAATTATCAAAGTAAAATTTTATTAAATTTACTTCAAACTTATTATGTTTAAGGCTTATTTCGTCGAAGTAGAAAATGAACGTCTGGAACGTTTAGCAATATTGTCCCGTCTATATGATCGCATTGGACCCAACCTCATGAAACTGGAGTACTTAATTCTTGGAACGAGTACAGGTCGTTCGGAGGTTATGTCTTCATATTATACGCACTGGGAGAAAAAAATATTTAAAACTCTTGTTGGGTAAGTTATTAAGGCAGAATTGTTTGATTTCAATATAATTTAATATAAAAACATAATATTTTTTCATTATTAACAAAGATTAACACTGGAGAATCTGCAAGATTTTCAAAAAACTCTCAGTGAGAAGAGACCACTCTTTCAAGTCGATGCAGTCCTAGTACCTCCTGATATTACAATGCGGCCTACAGCCCCTGAAGTTTGTAACATTCTTGGATACAACATCAAGCATTTTCTTAATAGGTATATTTGTATGTATTTCATTACATGTGTTAAGTATTGGTCTGAATAGTGTTATAATTTTGTTTTATTTGCAACGTCTTTCGGGTATTTTTATCAAGCGATTCCATACTTATGTCACAATTTTTATTGTGATAATTGATTAACGATTAATCGCTGGCTTTACTATTAATAGCTTTCAAGTAATTTAAGAACAATTTTATATTTCTTTATCACAATTCATATCTATATATGAATTAAGATTAAAGATAACTCCTTTATATTACATTTTACTAATTAACAGTCATGTACTTAGTGAGTAAAATGCTAGAACATTATATTACTTACAAAGTATAAACCCTCGTTGAAACAGAATACATATTCATAACTTAGTGCACACTTGATGAAGTCTTCGCCGACCAAGCGATGGGAATTGACGGACTGTTGCACATTATAACACTTGACAGATGTTTTAAAAACTATCCTCTTATAGTTTCTATTTACTTTTGCGACAGTGAGTCAATTCACTAATTGATATTAATAATAATTATTAAACATGTTGCCACTACAATTCACTAAATCAATACAATATTTAGCACATGTAAACCAAATTTTAATGTTACTTTCTATAGAATAAAAAAAATTGTATATAATTTAAAGGCTAACTACATTTCCACGCTGGATGAAGAAAACTTGCCTCCCCTGTCCTCCACAAAGAATAGCTGAGGCGACCGGGAATGAGTTTTATGTATTTTCATACTTTGAAGATATTTTACGAGTTGTGTCAATCAACGATATAACTCTTCTTATACAGGATACCATTTATCGACTTACTCAAGATATCAATGTTTATATTCAGAAGTAAGAATCTTTTTGTGTTATAACAAAATTTACATGCTCATTTGTTTCAAGCTCACTTCACTCAAGAGAACGAATAGATAAAAAAACAGGTCCTGAAGTCATTTCTTTTCACAGATTAAAGCTTGCAATCGCGACCCATAACAGGAAACCATACCAAAACTAAGTGTTAACTTTATCATTTTATTAACAGGTGGCAAAAATATAATCATCTTTGGGCATTTGATAAGAACCTTTCCTGTGAAAAGTATATTCAAAAGCATGAGCAAATACATAAATATGACGAAAAGTTCTTTTTCTTTGAGGATATCATATCAGATTTAGATAACCATAATAAATTTGTGGACATCGGAGCCATCAGGGTGAACTTGCGTCCTATAATACAACAAGTTCAGGGTCATTCGCAAGAGTGGAAGAATATTCTAGGTCATTGCATAGCTTCTAAAACAAGGATGAATATGTATGACTTGAAAAATCAGATGGAGGTATGTAAAGGATTTATTTGTTTACTTTATTCTGTAAGAAAAACCTTAAGCGTATAATTTGAGTTCTGTACTATAATCTTGAAGTTATTGTCATTAATAAATCCTATAAATTCAAAAGGAGAACTTCTGTAAAGGTAGAAGATATTCGCAATTCATTGGTATTTAAAGCAATTTTTTTAACTATAGATTTAATAAATATTACTTTTGTATGTGATTTCTTAATGAAATGAAAACCGCTTTAAAAATGGCTGTAATTCAACATTTTCAGTCACTCCGTATGACAATGAATATGAATATCAAAGGTTTGGAGGACTTTAAGCTGGTGATGGCAACGATAACACAAGTGCAACAGCTCACTATTACCGCTGAGGTGAAGTTCCGAAACATGCAGGAGATCTTTCACATGTTGAGACAGCATGGCATAGATGTAAGGAAGTTAATATACCTATGTATTATTTATAGAGAACAATATTATTTCTGTATATCGAAAATTATCCTGTATTGCATGGAAACCACGAATGTTGTAGCAACATATTATAAGCTTCTTTTTTGTATTTTATTCAGGCTATAGCAAGTATAACCTGTTGTATAAATTTTAGGACTCAATTAATTTTAGCATGTATACATAATATTATATCTGTAAAACATAGAATTTTTAGAAGTTTTGTTTTACATTATAAAGTGTTTATCTTAATCCTATATACATAAATATTAACGCTTTTAGGTAGAAGACGGAGATTTAGATTTTGCTAAAAATCTCGAAGCATCCTGGGGCACTTTGTATCAAACATCTCTGTTTAGAGGTAATACTTTAGAACAGACAAAAGAGAAATTCTCAAAACTGAATGTTGGTGAAATATCCAAATTCCTCAAAGAATTGGACGACTTCGTCGAAAAGTTTGACAGAGAAGGACCTTCCACTGTTGGAGAAGATTTAGACAGAGGATTGGTTCTTATGGAGGTAAAGAAATTAGATATTCTTCAGATTTTAAACAGCAAAATCATGTGTAAAATATCATAGAATTTAAATTGTTTCATATATCCTAACGATATTTATTTTGCATTATAAAAAATAAATTTTATTTGCATAAAAACATAGTTTTTACTTTGGACGATATTCTCGAAAAAAATAAAAAGTTTGGAGGCGCCGGGTATCGATCCCGGTACCTCTCGCATGCTAAGCGAGCGCTCTACCATCTGAGCTACGCCCCCGTTGCATTTCGCATTAAAAATTACAAAGTTTAAATAAAAATGAGAAAGTACGTGTTGTTTTTAACTAGTTATTTTTTTCTTTGTGTATGTATTGTTATCTTATATATCTCATTTTATATAATAAGATCTGACAGTTTAAGTTATTTAAAATTGCATCTACAATAATCTTTGTAATGTGTTTATAAACAAATTTGATCTATAGGAATACACAAAAATTTTTGATGAATTGGAATCTAGAAAAAAAATGTTACAAGCAGCAGAACAACTATTTGATAATCCGCTTGCTGATTTCACAACATTTAATCGCGCCAAATCAGATTTCCAAGCTATGGAACAGATATATAAAATATATAAAGCCCAAAAGAATGCAAGAGAAGTATGGGCTAAGACATTATGGGTTAATTTAAATCCTCAAGCACTCGTGGATGGTATTGAGCAGTTCTTTAAGGAATTCAGGTAACTATACTTAAAAACTAACCAAAACTAAACTATACTTGACTAACAATGACAATATGTTTTAAAGAAAACTACCAAAGACTGTACGTCTTACCCCCACTGGACTAATGTTGGATCTTAAGATGAAACAATTCAAGAACGTTGTACCTCTTATGGTTTCACTAAAGAATGAAGCAATGAGGGAACGTCATTGGAAAGAGTTAATGGCTAAAACAGGTAAGTTCCATCAATCCATACGTAATATACCTAAATCGAAAGCTAGTTCCTACTTAGATATATTAGACTTATTAATGGTATGCAGTTAAACAATCGTATTTGGGTGTTTTCTTTTTAACCTATCTATAAAATTGAGCATTATGTTTGAAAATCGTCGACTTTGGGTAAATTAATTATGTAAAAAAATCCATATGAAAGGTTTTAAGTTAGAAATAAATTGCGGTCATTATTTTATTCATAAAAAAATTACGTATTTTGAACATTTATATCATAACTAGTTTTTGCCCGCGACTTCGTCCGCGTTAGTTTGGTCAAGCGTAATATATGTAGGTATAGCTGACCAGGCGAACTCTATTTCGTTTTAGAGGCCACAAATAATCAGGTTTTTCCTGTTTCAATCAAACAGAATGATTGACATATTAGTTAGTTGTCAAATCTAATCTCAAAAAAAACGTTTGTATGGGAAATAGAAAGGGCTTTTTTTAGGGTTTTCCCGGCAATTATTCCAATTTTTCTCACCTTTTAAACCTTCCCTGGACTTCCAGAAGTATTTTAAGACTAAAATTAGCCAAATCGGTTCAGCCGTTCTCGAGTTTTAGCGAGACTAAGGAACAGCAATCCATTTTTATATATATAGAAGATAAGCTAATTTTAAACGTAAAATTTTTATTAGGTCAAGAATTCGACATGTCTCCGGACAGATTTACTTTGGAAAACATGTTTGCTATGGAACTTCACAAATATCAAGATGTCGCTGAAGAAATTGTCAACCATGCCATCAAGGTATACATTTATAACATCTATAATTTAAGAAGTTTTTTAATACTCAAGAAATTAGCATCATTTCAGTTCTCTCGCAAAATTCGTTTATGTATTGTAATTTTGAAATTACCTTCCGAATTATAAATTTTAAACCTTCATAAAAACAAACATTTATTTGAATGTATACTATAAAATATGTATATTTTACTTCAACACTTTTACCATCTACTGACATATAAGGTTATTGCATAACGTACATATATAACGATTGACAAATGGAAATAGTTCTATTTATTTAGAAAATTTTATTAGTTAAAACCAATCTTTAACAAAGTATTAACTTTCTAGTTTTACTGCATAAATTCGAAATTAAGTTGCAAATTTAACTCGAACAAATAACATCCAAACATTCCAAGTTCAATAAAAACTTCTTAGAAACAAATCTTCAAAACTGTTTCTAATAATAATGTATAAGAAGATATTAAACATTTATATTATATGTATACATACGTATTTGTATTACATAGAACACGTAGTTCGCGATAGCCGATATAAATTAATTTTATGGAGATTGACACTTAAAAATTGCGAAAGGAAATACAATACATTTAATTTTATGCTATTTAAGTTATTGTTATGTCAAAAAGGAACTCTCAATTGAACGCGGCGTCAAAGAGGTGCAGGAGACATGGGCAAACATCGTGTTTACAGTTTCAAGACACTTCAATCGTGGTGAAGACCGCGGATACACGCTCAACCCTTGCGATGAAATAATTGTAAAAGTTGATGATGATGCCATGTCCTTACAAAGCATGGCTGCCTCGCAGTAAGTTTTAGTTTATAGCATCGGAATTATTATATTTTCATTCGCCAGTTATTGACATTAAATTTTTACAAAAATCACAAAATACGAAAGGTTTATCTTGTCTGCTCGTGATCATGGTTTCTGCAAAGTAACTGAAACGTCGGGAGTATGTAGTTTTAAAATAATAAAATAACGTGTAATAATTTGAATATCTTAGTTTTATTTAAAACAAAGTTGAAATGATTTACAGATTTATAGGTCCATTCCTATCTGTTGTTCAAACATGGGATCGTCGCTTGGCTCTTATATCGGAGGTAATAGAGGAATGGATGGCAACACAACGCAAATGGCTGTATCTAGAAGGAATATTTGTAGGGGGAGATATTCGTGTACAATTGCCGGACGAAGCCAAAAAATTTGATGATATCGACAGATCCTTTAGAAAGGTAAATTGTAATACCAAAACCATGAACAGACCGCGACATTCACCGCTGAGTAATAAATTAATCTAACAGATCATGTTGGACACTGCCAAACGACTTAATGTAGTGGATTGCTGCACAATAAGTGGAAGATTAGAAGAATTTATAAACTTGGGATTGGGATTACAAAAGTACGTAATGTTTTTTTTTTAATGGAACACGTGTAAGCATAACAATGATTGATATAATTTACTGCCATCTAGGTGTCAAAAATCTCTGAATGACTACTTGGATTCGAAGAGAAGAATTTTTCCGAGATTTTTCTTCATATCTACAGATGAACTTCTGTCTATTTTGGGAAGCAGCGAGTGTAGTTGTGTTCAAGAACACATGATAAAGGTTTAGGAAATATTTCTTTAATATATTAAATTTTTTATAACAAATATTACTTACTGATTGATTAACACAGTTAAAAAACATTTGCAAATGACACAGGTTTTTAGCTTTTATTTCCTACATTTTGTATATAGGTATGTTTTAGTCTGCTCTTTTTATAATTCATATACATTTTACCGTTATATTTTAGATGTTTGACAACATAAGGGCTTTAGACTTATACGTGGATCACACAAATCGCCCCGTTGCCGCTAAAATGATTTCAGCCGAAGGAGAGGTATTTATTTCTTACTATTGTTTAGAAAAATATGTTTCTAAGTGGTTATGATGCTTTCTTAACTCATTAAATTTATCAACAGATAATGGATTTCCGTTACGTAGTGTATACAGAAGGCCGAGTTGAAGACTGGATGAATTTAGTTCTAAATGAAATGCGAAGTACTAATAAATTTATTACAAAAAAGGCCATATTCTATTACGGCAGGAACTGGAGAGTCCCACGGTTATTATCCTTGATTATAATTTTTTTTGTTAGGTATATGTACCTACTTTTCTCGTATATTATTACTACTGATCATTATATTATTTTAGAACGGAATGGATATTGGAGTACCAAGGCATGGTGTGTCTTGCAGCCAACGGAGTTTGGTGGACCGCGGAAACTGAAGAGACATTCATAAGAATCAGAAATGGAAACAAGCGAGCCATGAAAGAGCATTTACAACAACAGAACGAACAACTAGACGGACTGGTAGTAAAAGTGAGACAAGGTAAAAAACGTGAAGATATTAGTTCAAAAACAACTAAATTCCATCGACTAAATGTTCATATATTTAATAAGCCGCAGTTTTATCCGGATGTAATAACTATATTAAAATATTTGTAAGTTTTAAGTTCGCTATGAAATTAGAAAGTTATATAAAATTTTATCACAGATTTATCTTCTAACGATCGTCTTAAATTTCGAACGATAACAACAATTGACGTTCATGCAAGGGACATTATAGAGGGCTTTGTTCGAGACAACGTAACCGAAGCTGCTGAATTTGAATGGGAGAGTCAACTTAGATTTTATTGGCTCAAAAATGATGATAATCTCTGGATAAAGCAGTGCACAGGTAAAAGAAATATGGAACTAATGCATTGTTTTTTGTTAAGAACAGTATGAATAGTTTAAGAATATTATAATTTTGCAGGACTATTCGAATATGGTTACGAGTACATGGGCTTGAATGGTCGGCTAGTAATCACACCGTTAACCGATCGTATCTACCTTACTATAACACAAGCTTTGACAATGCAACTTGGGGGTGCTCCTGCAGGTAAGATACCTAAATCATAATAATCAGATTATAAAAAAGGTGAATTACATTGCAATACATATTGTTTCTTGAAAATACTATAGGTCCTGCTGGAACCGGTAAGACAGAGACAACAAAAGATCTCGCCAAGGCCTTAGGTCTTCTGTGTGTTGTAACCAATTGCGGTGAGGGTATGGACTTCAGGGCTGTTGGTCAGATCCTGGCAGGACTCTGTCAGTGTGGTGCTTGGGGATGTTTTGATGAATTTAACCGTATTGATATATCTGTATTATCAGTTATATCCACACAACTTCAATGTATAAGAAGTGCCTTGTTGATGAAGCTAAAGCGATTTACGGTAAGACCATATAAATTAATATCAGTAACTACTATGTACTCTCGTAAAAAATATTACAGTATCTTTTTCTGAAAGTGTTAAATGTTTTACGACTAAAGTATTTTATTTTATAACAGTTTGAAGGTCAAGAAATCGATATGGACAGTAAAGTAGGGATTTTCATCACAATGAATCCCGGATATGCTGGTCGCACGGAGCTTCCTGAATCCGTGAAAGCCTTATTCAGACCAGTTGTGTGTATTTTACCTGACTTGGAAATGATTTGTCAGATATCACTATTCTCGGATGGATTCCTTACAGCTAAAGTAATATTAAATGCCAATGATATAAAATTTTTACGACAAATTTAATAAAAATTATAATGATTATTTACTGAATTAGGTACTTGCTAAGAAAATGACTGTCCTATACAAAGTTGCTCGTGAACAGCTATCAAAACAATCTCATTATGACTGGGGACTCAGAGCTTTGACAGCAGTTTTGAGAATGGCTGGTAAACTTAGAAGAGATTCACCAGGACTCAGCGAAATCATGGTACTTATGAGAGCTCTGAGGTAATGCTATATATTTTGATATATGTCATAATAAAATAAATAATTCTATTCTTATTTTTGTCAATATATTTTACTGGCTACAGAGACATGAATCATCCCAAATTCGTTTTCGAGGATGTCCCACTTTTCCTTGGTCTTATCAAAGATTTATTTCCTGGCCTTGAATGTCCGCGTGTCGGATATCCAGATTTTAACGTTGCTGTTGAAGATGTTTTAGTTAAGGATGGCTATATTGTTCTTCCTCATCAGGTTTTGTACATCTATTAATACATTTACTAAATATTGACTTTGTTTTTAAGAGTAGTTGTGGCTGATATCTTATTAATTTCCTTTATTTAAGGTTGATAAAATAGTACAATTATATGAGACGATGATGACTCGTCACTGCACCATGTTAGTGGGGCCGACTGGTGGTGGAAAGACTGTCATCTTGCAGACTCTTGTTAAAGCACAGACCAACCTCGGACTACCCACAAAACTCACTATAGTTAACCCAAAGGTAAAATAAAATAGATAAAAATTACCAGAAACTTACAAAGAGTTGAACTAAGTGTGAAGTAAGTTTAAAGGAGACAAAATACATGAAATAAAATATCAAGAAACTAGTAGATTAACAAAATAATTCATATATAAATAAACATAAAAAGTAAATTCCTTACTTCAGCTAGAAACAAATATATTTGGAATAATATAGTAAATTTTAACAATTACTTAATTTTAGGCATGCTCTGTAATAGAGTTGTATGGCATTCTTGATCCTGTTACAAGAGATTGGACGGATGGACTATACTCAAAAATATTTAGAGAAATGAATAGGTAAGAAATAGTTTCTGTGAATATATTACTGTTTTATTTTTTCATTAACTGAATACTTCTTGATTTTAGTACATTTAACTAATGTATTAAATTTGATATTTTAAGGCCAGCTGATAGAGAGGAACGCCGTTACTCATTGTTTGATGGTGATGTAGACGCTTTGTGGATTGAAAATATGAATTCCGTAATGGATGACAACAAATTACTAACTCTAGCGAACGGCGAGAGAATTAGACTAGCTCCGTATTGTGCTCTGCTTTTCGAAGTTGGAGATCTTAATTATGCGTCACCGGCAACAGTCTCAAGAGCTGGTATGGTGTTCGTGGACCCTAAGAATTTGGGTTACCAACCGTATTGGGATAGGTAATCAACCCGCAATGGGCACCACAATTATATCTTGTCTTTTAATCTAAGCACAGAAACTTCTTTTTTTATATTAGAACTACGATTTAAAGCATTAAGAAAACTGTGTAAGGGCATAGTAGCACTCTGTATTCGACTACACAGAGGGGCGCACTATGCCCAATATGAATATTTTCTATTGAATTACTCACAGTTCCTCGGACCAGCAAAAATATCGTTCTCCTTGCACTTATACGGGACACCTTGTAGGTTTTATATTCTCAAATAAAGCGACAAGTGTAACTGTGATTCGATATTCTGTCTTAAGAAATTTAATATAATATAAAAAAATCTAGATTTTATTGTTTACAGTATTGTGGTTTATTGTTAATTAACCAAATAATATATAGAATATTGTAGCCGAAGTATGAATGATGTTTTAACCTTATTCGTGTTAACCTTATTCGTATTAGTAATAAGGTTAAATATAGTGTAGCAAATTTTAAGCGATAAGCGACCAAGCGATATTGAGATCCAAGTTTTAACTATGTATGTAGTTGGCGGGCGGCGGCCGAGCCGATGCGCTTGCGTTTCTTTGTTTAAAGATTAATGAGACAAGACATTTTTATCTTACGACCACTTGGCGACCGCCTTCCGTCATTTACATAAAATACATTTTTATTTAATTAATTATATGATTTAAAGTACAAATATTTATATTCATATATATATATATATATATATATATTCATATATATAATAATACTTTGTATATATATATATATATATATATATATATATATATATATATATATATATATATATATATATACAAAGTATTATTTAATGTAACAAAATACATATGACATATTATATTAATATATATACATATATATATATATATATATATATATATATATATATATATATATATATAATGTTTTATTATATATGTAAGTGTCGCGTTCGCCACAATATGATAACAAAAAAATCCAATACCGAACATTTTATTTATATCAAACCTGTGATTTTTATGCAATGAAACATAATATCAGAATGATTAAATCATAATAGTCGCTACCCCTAAATATAATGACATTTATATAAAATTTTAAAATTTAATGACTCAATGTCTAATTAAAAATAAGTACATATACATATAAATAGTTTAAATTTTATAGTTCTTTTATATCTTAACAATTATACATGCGTATTATACGTAATCGCTTTTATTTATTAATATAATTTACTTGTGATTGGTTAAAATCCAACTAATCATTGTATCTGAGTTTAAAGGAAACTTTTTCGCATAGTAGATACATAGGTTTAACAGCTTCACATAAGAGTATTAACATAAGGTTTTTAAACGAGAAATATAATGTTACGTATGTGAATTACAATGAGAACTTGTGCTAAACATACTGTTGAACATACCTACAGACTGTTTCTGACAAATGTATTCCATTTCTTATGAAATGTTTATTGCATATTATTATGTAGCTGTAAAATACTGTAACATGTACCATTACAGGTGGTTGCGCGGTCGAAATAACGAGGAAGAACGTGAACAATTATCTGGCCTCTTTGATCACTACGTAGGTGGAGCCATCAACTATATCGTTTTCGGTTTATTTGGTCTTCAACAGCAGACACCGTTGAAGACAATCGTCCCACAGACACCTCTCAATCTGGTAATTATTATATAAGGAAGATCAGTCGGGTCTTCTTTTATATTTCTATTGATTTTTGTTCTCAAAATTTGAGAACTTTAAACAACAGCTCACAATTATTGATATATTTAAAATAAATTTTGAGTACTGGCATACATAATTAGTTAATCTTAAAGATATACAAAGAAAGAATGTTATGAAAACGTCATATACTGTGCGTAAGTGGAAAACAAATTGCAACCAAATAGATAAATATAAACTTTAAAAATTTAGGTAGTCCAACTCTGCTACATGATAAGTGGCCTCTTACCAAACAGAGAAGATAGCAACGAGGAAATTGACAGAACTGTCGTCGAATGCGTTTTTATGGTTGTAAGTATTCATACATAAAATTATTGTAAGTGAAAAAATTTAAATAATGTAAAAATTAATTGGAGGCGCCGGGTATCGATCCCGGTACCTCTCGCATGCTAAGCGAGCGCTCTACCATCTGAGCTACGCCCCCTGTGGTTACTTTATACAAAATAATAATCAAAGAAATAAAAAAACGTTATTGAGAATGCCTTTCGAAATGTGAGTTGCTGACTATCAATATTAATTGCACAATTTATTAAAAGTACAACGAAACGTGATATTGTACTACAATCATTGTATTAGTTATCTTTTAAAACGTTAAGGAACATTATTTATTAAATCACTAAAATATTAAAATTATCTGAAACTAAAAGAAATGTATTAAAAGATGCATTTAAATAAATATTTATTCAGCTGCTGTTATACACTTAAATTTTATTTCTGACTACTTTGGTGGAAATGATAAAAAGAATATGCTAAATGGTTTATCTTCGCGGAATACATTTTTGTATGTTTTATTCAAAATTTTTACGGAAACTATGTAAATTGAGGATTATTAACATTAACAGCATGGAATAATAAATAATTTTCACCTTGTTTATGCAAATAAACGGTTATAAAATCGAATATTCAATTAAAGATCTCTCGCTTCGGACTAAGTTATATGAAAGAGTATCTGAGGATAAAAATATAAATAAAAATTTTATTTAATTTTTCAGTCAATGTACAACAGTCTTGGTGCAGCAATAGTCGATGATGGGAGATTCGATTTCGATAATTACATTAAGAAAGCCTGTCCAATGATGCTCGTTGAAGATACTCTGGAGAAAAAGGCTACCACCAGTAATTAGACGATATTACTTTGTTTTTTTCTTAAGATAAAGTTATATATAAAAATTTATATTAATATTCTTTTATCCAGAACATTTCCCGATGGGTTTTCCAACACTATACGACTACTGCTTGGAACTGAGTACACTCACCTGGGAAGCCTGGGAGTGGTTGGTGCCAGAATACGTTCATGACAGAGAGATGAGGTTCTCATCAATACTTGTACCCACAGTCGATACACTACGTATGACCTGGCTTATTAAGATTATGGAGAGCGTAAGTTACTTCTGTAATGTCTTTATCGGGAATACAAATGAAAGAAAGCATATACCGCTACGATACAAGCAAAAATGTACATGAAAATTTATTACGATCGTATTCAAATAACATGCCGAGATTAATTTGTCATTTTTCTATAGATTTCTTCTATAGATTTGTAATTTTTCTATAGATACAGTGTTTATTTTTATATTTTTGTTTGATACATATATATTTTACATAATTGTATATAAAACCATTGATTGACGTGAAGTCAAGAGTTGTTACAGATATGTCTTTATCAAATAATTTTCAATATTTCTAATGTTATTTGATTATATCAATTTCAGGTGGAAAGACCCGTTCTTTTAGTTGGTGACACGGGAACGTCCAAAACGGCGATTATATATAATTATTTAAGAGGCTTACCTCCAGATAAATATGTAAGTCGTTTATTTTTGACAATAATGTCAATTAATATATACTAATTATGAAGTGATAGCTATTCATAAATAATATTTGTCATTTTAATTCATACATAATCAGATATCAATGACTTCTTTATTATTTTATTTATGTATACTATGTAATTTATTTTATGAAAATTTATAATTATTAGTTTTTAACAATTTACGCACGTTTTAATGATAACTTTATCAATATCGTACATTTTAATATAGTAGGTATAAGAGCAAAGTACTTGAACATCTGGTCAGATTTGTTTTTAGAAATAAAACTTATTTGCTTTTAATTTTGTATAAGATTAATATACACTTTATATTGATCATAATAATGCGTTACGCAAGTGGCCTTCGTTCTACTTTTACTGCTATATATAACATACAATATATCCGGCACGAGGACACACTTTCACTGCGCATTGAATTCAAATCCAATGCTTTATTTAGAACGTTACTTACAACGGGGGCGTAGCTCAGATGGTAGAGCGCTCGCTTAGCATGCGAGAGGTACCGGGATCGATACCCGGCGCCTCCAAAGTTTTTTTCACATTTAGAAAATTTTATCAATCATTTTGTCAATAAATATTTCATTTTATCATATTATTTTCATCTATTTAGGTTTATTAAATAACATAGACAGTGTTTTAAGTGGTCTAGATTTTTGGTCTATCACAATGAACTCTGATAAATTTTGAATATACATACAATATGATAAGAAACAAGATAATATATTTGTCCATATAGCAATTGGCTGACACGAAAATAATATTTTGTTTTAATTTATCTCATACCCTTTACTAATAACTTCAACATTACAGATTGTCCAACAAATGAACTTTTCATCTCGTACCTCCTCTATGGATGTTCAGCGTAATTTAGAATCCGTGGTAGAAAAGAGAACCAAAGACACTTTCGGGCCTCCCGTAGGAAAGAAGATGCTGGTTTTCATTGATGATATGAATATGCCAATTGTATGTAATAATAATCTTATGTATATTTTTATCAGTCCAAGAAATTTAATATATGATTAGGCTTATACAAAATAAAATATAAAAATATATAAACTGTTCTAGGTCGACACATACGGGACGCAACAACCGATAGCACTTCTCAAATTGCTATTTGAAAGAAAGGGCTTTTATGATCGCGGTAAAGATCTCAATTGGAAGAACTTGAAAGATATTGGCTTTTTAGCGGCTATGGGAAAGGCAGGGGGCGGTAGGAATGATGTAAGTCAGAATTTAAAACATTTTATTGTAGTAATTAAATTTCTTTATCGATATGAATATTTTATTTGATAGACGAAAACAAATAGTAACAAATTAGATCAGAAAAACCAGTGCTTTTAACTATCTTGTATTACAAAAATATAGTCTACTTTTTTTATAAAAACAATAATTAAGTACGAAAAGGACTCCATTCATTAAATTTATAAACATTACGTTTCATGTTAAACTGAGGAATATACCAAAATATATACTTGTAAATATTTTGTAAATATATGTCAGTTATGGAAAAAATAATCAATACAAGGACCACAATATCCATGCTTTTAAACCAGATTTTTATAAACATTGAAGTTACATTAACTTTTCGATATTCTATGTTGTATTCTTCTACTAGAACTACTAAACTTTCAGGTGGATCCGAGATTTATATCAATGTTCTCAGTATACAATTTACAATTTCCATCGGAAGCAACCCTTAACCATATATACGTTTCAATTCTAAAAGGACACTTCTCGGTATTTCCTGAAGAAATTCAGGATATAGTTGAAAAAATTGTCCAAATGACACTAGATTTGTACAAGGTAAGTTTAATGTGGATGAATGACTGTAAATTGTACTATAACATCTCTGAAACCTGTCTGTTTGTATGATAATATAAGTATAAAAAATATAACTCCTTCTATTCTAGATAATCATCGTAGAACTGCCTCCTACTCCAGCGAAGTTCCATTATATCTTCAATCTACGTGACCTTTCCCGGATAGCAGCTGGCATGTGTCTTACACATCCCAACTTCTTCAGCGAGAAGAAATGCGTAGTGAGATGCTGGAGAAACGAGTTCACTCGAGTTATTTGCGATAGGCTTATTAACACTCAGGTCAATACTTATATTACTAATGTTTTACAACAGTCGACGAATTTAATATACTTTTTATTCAAAAATTTACATAATCACCTTTATCGTTTAGGATAACGACTTAATGCGGACGCATATACAAGAAAATATTGTCAAATACTTTCCCGAGGATGAACCAGTAGTCTTGGAGGAAATTGTTATACCTGAAGAAGAAGAAAAGCCGGTGGAAGAAGAAGAAGAAGATGGTAACATAAAAATGAATTGTAGTGTAACGTAGTGCTACTAATAGTATTAATAATAATAGATGTCTGATTCTATTTATTTAACATTCAGAATTTATGAAACCTGAAACCAAGCCCAGCAAACCTGCTGCTGCTGAAGAACAGGAGCTTCAAATCGAAGAAGAAGAAGAAGTCGAAGTTGAAAAGGTTTTAACGGTGAGAAGTTTGTTTCTACTCTATACATAATCATCTTTACAATCAGATGTAATAACTAGAATATTTTCTTACAGTTGGAAGAATATGTGCTTCGAGATCCGCTACTGTTTGGTGACTACCGAAATGCACTTGATGAAGAAGAAGTGCGATACTATGAGGATCTGTTGGATTACGAAGCGGTTTATTTTCTATTCCAAGAGGTATTTTTAACAATACATGAAGACTTTAAAACGTATCAAAGCAATTATAATGCAAAACTAGGCTTTTCTATGTATTTTTTATTGTTTAGATTCTGGATGAATACAATGAGCGTATAAGCAAGATGTCCGTAGTATTGTTCGAGGACTGTTTGGAACATTTAACCCGGACACATCGAATTCTACGCACGGATCGCGGTAACGCTATGATTATTGGCGTTGGTGGATCTGGAAAGAAATCAATCTGTAGACTTGCTGCTTTTGCTGCTGGTAAATTTTTATTATTATTTTTATAGAAAAAAATACAGGATGTCCATAAGACATATACTTGTAGATTTTCTATTCATATAATTTATTTATCACAGGTTATGACGTTTTCGAGATAACAGTAACGCGCAACTACAATGAAAATACTTTCAAAGATGATATGAAGAAACTATACAATCAACTAGGAGTTGACGGCAAACCCACTGTTTTCTTATTTACTGCAGCTCAGGTTTGTAATAACAAAAAATATATTTAGATAATATACTTTCATAATTTTATTTTATTCAAGATTTTGTCATATCAAAGGAGGTATATATTAAAATATAAATTTGATAATTTATAGATATTGGAAGAAGGTTTTCTGGAGTTTATCAATAATATCTTAATGATTGGAATGATCCCAGCGCTTTTTGGTGACGAGGAGAAGGATGCTATAATTAATTCCGTTCGAAACGAAAGTAGCGAAGCTGGATATGGAGTGGCAAAGTAAATAGATCAGTTTCCTTGTATTGTATTTTCTTCAAATAGAAACAAAAAGGTATAATGAAAATCGTCGTATTTGTTAAGTCTATTGTCTCATAAATAAATATTTTACAGGGACGCTGTTTGGAATTATTTCTGCAATAAATGTGCTAACAATCTTCACGTTGTTTTATCTATGTCTCCTAGTGGTGATATTTTACGCAACAGGCAAGGGACATTGTTATGGAATTGGAATTTGAAATTGAACCCTTATTTCATTATTTAAATATTCTTCCAGATGTCGAAGCTTTCCAGGTCTCGTAAACAATACAACGATTGACTGGCAATTTCCTTGGCCTAAGCAGGCGCTATTGGCTGTAGCTAATGTATTCCTATCTGATGTAAGAAAAAACAGTATTCATAAATATTAACAACCCTGATCATACATTGTAACTCTTTTGAGAAATATTAAGCTATTTTTAAATATTTTTAGGTTCAAAAAATTCCTGAAGAGTTCCGTCCAATAATAGTGGAGCATGTTGTTCATGTGCATATGTCAGTGGCGCATTATTCAGCAGAGTTTTTGCTTCGTTTACGCAGAAACAACTATGTTACGCCCAAACACTACATGGATTACCTTACTAATTACCTTTCGCTGCTAAATGAGAAAGACGCATTTATAGTGGCACAAGTGAGTATAATTTGTTAACATTATAGCTTTGAAACAAAATTAAATCTTTTTAATTGAAACAGTCCAAACGAATTATGTTATAACTAATAACTAAGTTGTCCTATAAATATCAGAATTAATGTAAAATAATAGAGACGGTAAAATTAAATGAATTATATTGTATTAATAATTTAAATAGTGTGAACGCTTAATTGGTGGTTTGGCTAAGATAGAAGAAGCGAATGTTCAACTAGAGGATCTAAATGCAAAATTGGCAATTCAGAAAGTAATTGTAGCAGAACAGACGAAGGAGTGTGAAACGTTGCTCAAAGAAATCTCCACGGGTAAGTTATAGATGCAAATAACGGTTACTAATTTATACTACTTCGAGTCGTCTTTAAATCTACATATTCACTTTTATACTAATTGTTCTCTAGCTACGGAAGCAGCAGTCGCAAAACAAACGGTAGCAGCGATTAAAAGTTCAGAGATCACAGAACAGAGCAAAGTCATAGCAGAAGAGAAATCAGAAGCCGAAGAAGCGTTGTCCGCAGCTCTGCCAGCGCTAGAAGCGGCCAGACTTGCACTTTCAGATTTGGATAAGAATGATATAACTGAAATTAGATCCTTTGCTACCCCGCCTGAAGCGGTTCAGGTAGGTGAAGCAATTACTTGGAACAAAATAAATATAATTAATTTAAATAACAACATCAAGTAATTGATTTTATCAGGTCGTATGTGAATGTGTAGTTATAATAAGAGGAATTAAAGATGTCAGCTGGAAAGGTGCTAAGGGAATGATGGCCGACCCAAACTTTTTGCGTAACCTTCAAGAAATGAATTGCGATCTTATTACCCAGCAGCAAGTAAAAGCTGTTAAAGCGCATATGAAAAAAAGTAAAAAATTAGATACCATGCAACAGATCAGTAAGGCCGGGTACGTAATGGGGTCATTATATAGTTGTACGGAATTAGACTTAATTGTAATGTACTGCTTCTTGATCCAGATATGGCCTGTTGAAATTTGTTACTGCCGTGCTAGGCTATTGTGCTGTATACAAGGAGGTGAAACCAAAAAAAGACAAAGTCGAGGCTTTAGAAAAGGAATACACTGAAGCTGTTAACTATTTAGCTTCCCTCAACAGAGAGATTGATCGATTACAAAAAACTTTAGATGGACTTAATAACAAATACGAAACAGCAATGTTACGAAGACAAGAACTTCAAGAGGAAACTGATATTATGATGCGAAGATTGGTTGCAGCAGACAAACTTATGTCTGGATTATCGAGTGAACAGAAACGCTGGACAGAGGACTTGGCGGCTTTATATGTGGAACAATCACGATTGATTGGGAACTGCTTGTTGTCCGCATCATTTTTAAGTTACACTGGGCCTTTCTCGTTTTCTTTCAGACAAACCATGTTGTATGAGGATTGGATGGGAGATGTCCTTGAAAGGGGCATTCCCCTGACAACGCCTTTTACTGTAGAAAAAAATTTAACGAATGAAGTGGAAATAAGCGGGTTAGTAGTAAAAACATATGATTGAATTGTTCACATTTTTCCATATAGTACTACTATTTTCACGTACTACTCTTAATGTATGTATATATTTTTTAGCTGGAATTCTGAGGGACTACCGCCAGATGAACTATCAGTACAGAACGGTATTTTGACCACTCGTGCTTCACGTTTTCCTCTTTGTATTGACCCACAGACTCAGGCACTAACGTGGATAAAACGAAAAGAAGCAAAAAACAATTTGAAGGTAATTTATTTATTTAAATGAATGTATAAAAAGTGCCCCCAATTAATTATCATTAGAAAAGTCTTAAGACATAAAGACTACATATAAAGAGTAAAGACTTGTTTACATGCTTATATCTTGTATTATAAAAAAATATATCTAAATTGCAATAATTACAACAAAATAAGAGCTAAACAACGTTATTTATTTATTAACTTTCAATAAAACTTCCAACAGACGTAAACCATTTTTATTCACGTAAATTTTGATGCTAAAATATTAATTCTTTTCCTACATTTCATTAAATAGCGCAATTCTACCAGATCCTGAATGGTAAACATATTAAATCCATGTTCCTTATAATTTGTACATTGCTTTTGAGACAAATATAGTTTATTTATTTGACAACAATAGAAGATAATATTATTTTCTGACAATACCAGGTGCTATCATTCAACGATCCACAATTTCTGCGACATTTGGAGATGGCAATCAAGTATGGCATGCCAGTCCTATTCCAAGATGTTAACGAATACATCGATCCTGTCGTTGACAATGTATTGGAAAAAAATATAAAAGGTACGCCTAATATCTATTATATCTATACTAATATTATAAAGCTGAAGAGTTTGTTTGTTTGTTTGAAAGCGCTAATCTCCTAAAATACTGGTTCGAATTGAATAATTCTTTTTGTGTTGGATAGTCCAGTTATCGAGGAAGGTTTTGGGCTATATAACATCACGCTACAACCAATAGGAGCAAAGATATAGTGGTAAATGTGTAAAAAACGGGAGAAATTATTTCATCTTTGAAGCCTTCCCTTGCGTGCGGCGTGAAAACGGTTCAAGATACACAAAAAATATGTACGAAAGAATAATAGCTCTTTTAATGATCTAAAAAACAGTCCGCGACAGTATATATCTATCTTTTAAGATTAACTCACAAAAACCGTTTTTATGTTACATAATTTGGTCGAAATAATTTGTTTAAGTTGTATCAACATAATAATATTAATCTTTATTCAAATAAACAAATAAATATGTTGTTGGTTAAGAGTACTCCATTGCGAATAAAAAAAACATAGGTTTTATCCTGAAAATTCTACGGGAACTCGACCATTCCGAAAACCCCGCAAGAACGGGAACTATGCTGGAAGAACCAAAAATCTGCCGAAAGTCACTATTCCACGCGGACGCAGTCGCGGCAAAAGCTAATACATAATAAATAACTATAGCTTCTAGCTCATATATTCTAAATCTTACAGTTGAAAGTGGCAGAACGTTCGTGATGCTGGGCAGTTCAGAAGTCGATTACGATCCCAATTTTAGAATGTATCTTACTACGAAGCTAGCAAATCCTCAATTCAACCCAGCTGCCTACGCGAAGGCAGTCGTCATTAACTATACTGTTACTGTACAGGTAAAAAGAAACTTCTATTTTAAGTTAATCAATACATTCAGAAATAAGTTGATGAAACCGCGATCAACTTACGAAGAATTTTTTAATAAATAATTTGGTTAAGTTTTGATGTTTACAAATACATTTTAATTCACAAACTAAAAACATTGTTCTTCAACTACAAATCTGTTACAATATGAATTATAATCAGAGCATGAAAACACATTTTCAAGGGCCTGGAAGACCAGCTTCTCAGCGTAGTAGTTCGTGCTGAGAGGGCTGATCTGGAAGAGCAAAGGGAGAGTCTTATTATCGAGACCAGTGCCAACAAAAGTCTTCTCTCGGGACTCGAAGATTCTCTCCTAAGAGAATTGGCGACCTCAACTGGCAACATGCTTGATAACGTAGAACTGGTTAATACGTTAGAGAACACCAAGTCCAAAGCAGCAGAGGTATGGAAATTACAGTTGATTCTAAAAAACTAAGTATATAATCTAATCTGTGAATCATCATATTTCAATAGTCTTTTCTTAAAGTATAGTAAATGTTTCTTAGGTTATGGAAAAACTTGAATTGGCGGAGAGAACGACAAGAGACATTGAAAAATTAAGAGATGGTTATAGACCTGTGGCTAAGCGTGGATCAATCCTCTTCTTCGTATTATCAGATATGGCCAGTGTCAACACCATGTATCAATACTCACTATCCTCATACCTGGATGTTCGTATCTTAATTTACAGTTATTATAATATTAGTTTTAATATATATATAAATTACAATATTATTTCAGGTTTTCTCTTTTTCATTACGCAAGGCAATGCCTAATGTAATATTATTCAAAAGATTAAGGAATATAATAGATATGTTAACTAAGAATGTCTACGAATATGGATGTACAGGTAAACTATTCCATTTTTACCTATTTCTAGTTATATAAGTTTTAGTTATTGAATTCCTATAGACAAATTTAACATTTAAATATGTAAACAGGAATATTCGAAAGGCACAAACTGTTATTCTCTTTTCAAATGGACATCAAACTGGAACAAAGTGAAGGAAACGTGACTCAAGCAGAGTTAGACTTTTTCATCAAGGGTAATATTTCCTTGGAAAAGTCAGCGAAAGCATGTCCCGCCACTTGGATACCAAATCAGGTACGATGCTTAAATTGTAGCTTAAAACGCGAATACGTAAGGCGAATTCGATAACATAAGACGTAAAACGTGAATTACAGGGATGGCAGGACATAATGAAGCTAAGCGTAGATTTCCCGGATACCTTTGGCGAATTACCTGATCACATAACCTCCGGGATTCTCCTTTGGCAAGAGGTTCGGCCCCATATATTTGAACCTGCATCACCTTGTGTAATAAATTTTATACATGCAAACCGTGTTTTTAACAGTGGTTCGATAGTGACAATCCTGAAGCCATTGAAATGCCAAATGGGTACCGTAAAAGGCTAAGGCCATTCGAAGTGTTGATGATACTTCGTTGTTTCCGAGTGGATCGTATTTACCGAGCGCTTACTGATTACATCACAGCTACAATGGGAGAAGAGTACATAACACCACCAGTTATAAGGTATTCTTGTTACAAACTAAGAATGATTAAGTCATCAGAATTTACCAATGGTGAGATGAGTTTTTGAATGCTACTATAATTTGACTACTTTTCCAGCCTGGATATGATATATGAACAAACTACACCATTCACGCCGGTTGTATTTATTTTAAGCCCTGGTTCTGACCCTACCGCAGATCTCATGAAATTAGCTGATAAATGTGGTTTTGGTGGAGGGAAATTTAAATATTTATCACTCGGTCAAGGACAGGAGGGGGTATGTGTTCTTATGTTTATCATCTGCTTAATTTGTTGGAGAACTTGTGCCGATATATCTTAGTATGACTAATTACATGATTTCAGGCCGCTTTGGCTTTATTAGAAGGTGCTATATCTCATGGACAATGGTTAATATTACAAAACTGTCATCTTCTTATATCTTTCCTTCGCGAATTGGAAAAACAATTGGAAATGATGACGAAACCGCATCCCGAATACCGTTTGTGGCTCACAACTGACCCTACACCCACCTTTCCCATTGGTATACTACAACGATCTCTTAAAGGTATCAATTGAATACATAAGAATATTATTTTAAAGAATGTACACAATAATTATTAGTGAAAACATTAAAACTCTTTTCAGTTGTAACCGAACCACCAAATGGACTTAAACTCAACTTAAGGAACACCTATTTCAAAATGCGTGCCCGTGCTCTAGATGAGTGCACTCACCCTCACTTCAGAAAACTCGTATATGTTTTGGCTTTCTTTCATGCAGTTGTCCAGGTAATAAGCGCTCAGAACTCGTCAATATGTAAGAGGCATGTAATCTTTTATAAAATATTCTTTAGGAGCGTCGGAAATACGATAAAATTGGTTGGAACATAGCGTACGACTTCAGTGAATCAGATTTTATAGTGTGCATGCAAATACTTCAATGTTATCTGGACCGCTGCTACGTAGCCAAGGGCCCGGTCCCGTGGGCTACTCTCAAATATCTCTTTGGAGAAGTAAGTTTTCAACAGTTAATTTATTTACGTTCATGTTTGCTTGAAAACATAAATAATTTTTAATCTTTTTTCCGTTCAATCAGGTAATGTACGGTGGAAGAGTCATTGACGATTTCGATCGTAGAGTAGTAAAAACGTACATGGATGAATACTTAGGAGAATTTTTGTTTGATAAATTCCAACCGTTCCATTTTTACCACGACTCAACCTTTGACTATGTCATACCTCCTGATGGCGAACGCGAAGAATATATTGGTAAATTACGTATTTCCATTGTATCCATGTATTAAGAAAGTGTATTTTACTATGTTACATTAATTTTTAACCAATATGAACAACTTGTTTATGTATTCTAGATTTCATTGACACCCTACCACTTGCTAATACGCCGGAAGTTTTTGGTCTGCACCCCAACGCGGAGATTGGTTACTTCAGCCAGGCCGTGCGTGAAATGTGGAGTCATCTCATCGAATTGCAACCACAGACAAGTGAGAATTTGACGTTGTTTTCGACAGCCAAAAACAATATAATATTGCTTCGAATTTTATAAAATGATAGTGAAATATTCCAAAAGTATGTCCTCTATTTGGGGCATAAGAATGCATTTAATAAATCCTCTCTCAAATTTAGATATTGTTTATAATAGTTTTTCACAATAAGTACTCACAAATTCACTTATATTTTTTCATGCTATCAGTAAGTAAATTTGGTAAGTTATTATTAAAATTTGTACTTGCTGTTAATACGTCAATTAAAACCAATAAAGCGAATTTAAATAAAACTAAGATTTTCGGATATACTACCCGTAGTATATCTTATTATTTAAATGAATCCTCGCGAAGATATATTCAATAAAAACAATTTCATGTACCTACGCTTATTTTTCATGCTTCCAAGTCCACCTAAATGGTAAGTTATTATAGCAATTATTATTACGACTGGATTGTTTTAAAACATAAATAAGACTCTAGAAATTTTAGGTCAAACTAGTGTTGTAATTTTCAATCATCCGTATTTATACTGATGATATAAAATGTCATAGGTGAGGGCGGAGGCGCTATGAGTCGTGACGATTTCATCGACTCCATTGCTGTTGACATCTTCGCTAAGCTGCCAGCCTTGTACGAAATATGGCGAGTACGGAAGCAGTTCGAAATGAACATCACTCCTACTATTGTGGTGTTGTTACAGGAACTAGAAAGGTGATAAGGCGTGTCTGTACACAAGATCAGCATAATTAATCTTAGACAGCATTAACAGTTTTTATAAATGTTAGCTCGTTATAGTATTAAAATAAGGTTATTGAATGATAAAATTGTCACAGTTCCTTTGTAGTGTGCCTAATTAGTCCAAGCATACAGGTTTAATTTTAGTTGTAATCATTATACTGCCGCTTATGTACCTTTTTGACTGAAATATCCTTCCAAAGTCATACTAACGGTAGCATAACTCTTTCGTTCTTGCTATCGATAATTACCGTTTTTAAAAGGTTTTATTTACCTCACCGCGTTTGTTTTTTTCTTTACTAAGTCACAATACTCAGTGCGCCTAAGACACCTGACAATTGTAGACATCTACTATCACCATTAGTTACTTAAAATCAGATAAAATACATACTGATTTTATCCCAATATATATTAATTAATAAAAGTAATCAATCATCACAATAAACTTTTCAGGTTCAATCGACTTATAAACAAACTGCAAGTCACTTTGTCCCAACTACGCAAAGCCCTAGCTGGTGAAATCGGTATGGATGCTATATTGGACAACGTAGCATACAGTTTATTCAACGGCCAGTTGCCGCAAGTTTGGCGTTCCTTAGCACCAGACACGAGGAAGGGTTTGGGTGGATGGATTGATCATTTCCTAGAACGGACCAAGCAGTATTCAGACTGGGTATGATTAAAAAACTTAATACCACTTTAAGGATCACTACGTACACTGTAAAAGTATATTTAAACATTTATAGGCTACAATGGAGGAGCCAGTGGTGATTTGGTTGTCAGGTCTTCACATTCCAGAGTCATATCTGATTGCTCACATCCAAATAGCCTGCCGATTGTATACATGGCCTCTAGACAGATCAACCCAGTTCACGAAAGTAACAAAATTTATATCAGCTGATGACATAGAAGAGAGACCAGTCACGGTAATTGGGCTATTAATTGTTTTTGGCCTTATTGAATAACTAATAAAGACTTAATTTGCCTATGTTGTTTATTTTAATTCTAGGGATGCTATGTACGAGGACTGTATTTGGAAGGGGCCCGTTGGGATGTTGATGATGGTTGTTTGAGAAGATCACATCCAAAAGTTCTCATCACAGAACTGCCTATCATGTATATCATACCAATTGAAGCACACAAACTAAAGTTACAGGTATTTTATATAAATATTAAGGCAAACTGTAAAGCAACATAGTATGTGAGTAGAGTAAAATTTAAATTTATCCCGCCTTCATTGAGTTAAAGCTTTTCTATTTCTAAATTGAAGCTACATAAATATTCAATATTAACAAACAGTATTTGTTAGTTTAAACATAATAATAATTATTAATAAATTGAATTATAGTAAAAGGAATGTAATGTTTTAAAATTTGAAACAAAGATCTTAAATACACATGGTATTTTCTTTTTCACTTATTATTTTGCCATTAATCAAAGCCACTATGGTAATAAATATTTATACATCAACAGCAATTGAATTTTAACTAAACAACTTAATTGCATACTATTTCTTGCTTATGAAGAGCCTAACTGTAACTAGATTAAAAAGTGTTTGCTAAACAAGAAATTTTAAGGAATTTTGATACAATAAATATTTTTCAGAACACACTACGTACACCTGTGTACACAACATGTTCTCGTAGAAATGCTATGGGTGTGGGACTCGTATTTGAATCCGATCTATGGACAGCGGAGCATTCCAGCCACTGGGTCTTACAAGGTGTCTGTCTCGTTATGAACACTGACTAAATTGTAATTTATTTCAGTTCTACAGAGGATTAACATGAAATAAAATTGCACTTTTTCTATAAGATTTAGAATTATCTTATTTTCCTTACTGCTTCTCTATTATACTTTTGTAATTTATTTTAATTATTAAGTATGCACTCTAGATAATTCAATAAAGAGACTGATTGTAAAGAAAAGCCTTTTAATTCCCTATTATTTAAGTTTTAATTGTCTAAAATGAATCTAAGAAAATAATAAGACACTTTTACCTGATTATTCTTTATTTACCCTTTGCTTTTACTTGAGGAAGGCATAAATTATAGAATGAGGAACTTAAGAAATCATTTAACGGCTGCCATTTGACCCAACCATTATCCTGAAGAAAACTTCTAGAACTTTGTTTACCAACACAATGGGGATCCTGGAAATGAAACAATTAAAATATAAAGATTTGACATTGTGTAATGTATAAATAAATAAGAAGTACGAATGATTGTTCCACAAGAGTTTCTTTGAAAGTTGCACTGTGTGTTGATATTTATGAAACAAGATAAACATTAATTATTACAAAGCCAAATATATTTAAATATTTAGAGCTAAACGGCATATACACACATGTTTGTAACATAATCAGTGCAATATCTAAATAAATTTAATAGATTAATAAATAAATGCAGTGTTTGGAGGAATATCTTACATTTACAAAAATGAAATTTAGTCTATTAGACTTAAGCTGAACTTTGCATTTGTGCGAGTGAAAGTAAAAGTAGAGTTAGTCAAAAACTTTTAGAACTAAATTTTCTTATATTTTATATGGATACATAAGTGCTAGAGCTATTCTAGATTAGATATAAAATAAGCATAACTAAGAGACCAGATGGAAATATTATGGAAAAAAATCATCAAGTAATAAAAATTTTGAAAAAACTAAAAAAATTCTTCTTCACTTGACATTTCGTTTTTAATATTTGATGTTGCCCTCAGTACAAAGGGTGAAGTGTGGAAAGTGCAGGGTGGAGTAAAAGTAGTTCTAAACCCAAAAAGAACATTGTATTCATCTATATATATGGTATTCATCTATATTACATCTCACCTACACTATCCGTAAGCACTCACAAAAATACAAAAGCTTAGCTTAAATCAAACGCACTAAACAATTATATTTCAATTAGGAGATAAGTTAAACTTACCACAACCAGTAATTTTGAATTATTTCCATCCACAAGAACCCCCATTATACCTTTTGATGAACAATCAACATCACCTCCCATCATTATAGGGCTGCCAAACTTTTCAAAATGATTCTTTAAAGTCTCCACTATACTTTCTAAATTATCTTCTTTTTTTACATGTACTATTCTACTTGGAACATCATATAGTTTATCTATTACGAGACAAACCTAGAAACACATATTTTTAAAATATTAGTTTTAAATAACAGTTGTAGAAATACATATAACATACATTTACGTTGGTTATGTTATATAAATATAATATCTTAAAACGTACCTCAAAACTTCCAATCCATTGCCTAGAATTTAAAAAGGATTTAGGCTTGTCCTCCAACTTAACAAGAATGCTCTGAATTTCTCTGATACTGGGAACCTTTGATGGTTTATCTAAGTTATAATTCATCCAGGAACAAATTGTTTGTAACGTTCTGTAGCCACAGCCCCAGCCCTGAAAAGAATAATAACATACAGTTAAGGATTCCATAAAAGAGGTTACATATGCACTTGTTACTTTTATATTTGATTGGGCTATTATTATAATTTTAATTATCTTACCCGATCATCGAAGCCATCACATAAATAATGGTAATAGTCATATTTTCCATCAACTAAAAAGCAATTTTGTAAATTGTTTTGAAGATGGCAATGGACGTCACTCAAAAGTGTAGGTGTCATTTTGGTCTATGACATTAAAATATTGACATTGGTTCTTGTAGTATGTTTAGGAATATAAATATCTATTATGTATGTAATATGTAAAAATTACTAAATGCAGATTTTAACCATCCGATATAATTAAAAAACCATGATTTATTAATATTGATAAACCTGAAGATTTTATTTGATTATATAAAATAAAAAAAATATATTGTATTTCAAACTAACTAAATAAATTATTTCAGTAAAATTATAATGAATATTAAAAAAATAATATTTATATTTCTTCATACAATAAATGTCTAAAATATAATTAACTAGTAAACCCGGCGAACTCCGTTTTGCCACCAGAAAGCTTTGTTTTATGTAACGTTGTAATTTCGTTGGGTGATTGAAAGATGAAGATTTTTTTTTTGTTTTATATTTGAAAACGAAAATTTTTATTTCATTTCACAACAGTAATGAATTCATTTCGATGTTATGTGTTATTTAGTTAAACTTCTCTAAGTAAATGAAAGTGAATCCAAAGTAGATACCGAATCGAAGCGTTATACGTGTCCGCAAATTATTCGTTTCATTGAAATGCTACTTTATAAACCACATTTTTTGTTTTTTGGTCTAACTTTAACACAAATAAAGCGGATGGTTTCCAAACTCGTGAACATACAAAATATAACGCCCATGTGAAAAACAATGATTTAATTCTAAATTTATCCCGCAAATACTAAATGGTTTTAAGAGTTCAAACTACAAACACAATACCGGTTTGTCACATGAAATTAACTAATCAGAGAACAATGAGTAGCTGTCAAACAATGTATCATGCACCGATGCCATCTACTTAAAATATTGATTTGTAGATAGTACATGTTATGTATGATGGCGCTGTATGTGAAAAAAGATTTTCCCGCTTTTCTGTTGAAATTGGTTCGTTCGTTCTGAAGTTATAGCGTCATGATGGAAAACCGGACTTATTTTTATATACTAGATCTCTTACAAATATCTAATTGTCATCATTACGTCATTACATATCTGTCATTATACGTCAATTGCATAGCTGTCAATTGTGTTTCGTTATTCCACGTATTATAGTGACTGACGTTTCATGTCAAGTCCCACGGGAATGTTGTCGAACGGGATAAAAAAAAGTATCCTATTGCAATTTCCTGGCTCTAAACTACCTCCCTGCCAATTTTCAGCTAAATCGGTTCAGTCGTTCTTGAGTTATAAGTGGAGAAACTAACACGACTTTCTTTTATATATACTTATAGATTACTACAACAGTTTACAGCTAGATGATTTTTGTATTAATGTACTATTTATTATTAGATATAGATATTATATAATAAACATATATACTTTAATCGTTATAGTGAAAAGATTTAATCAATCCAATTCTTATGAATTTTCTAAATAATAACACAAATATTCGTATAGTATAATTTGTTGCATTTACATTAAAGACAAGAAGTAATAAAAGTTTTCATCATGGTCTATCCATGTGTAAACATCGATAAATATAAACATTAAATTATATTTGACATACTTGAACAATATTATGTATTTGAAATAAACTTTAAACATAAATAGTTGAAGGACAAAACTTGTCCTCGTATTTATTTCAAAAGATATAGGTTAACCTTCCTATACCCGCGTCAAATACCGTAACACATATACCCGCGTCGGTCACTGGGACCGATAGTTCTTTCGTTTACTAAATACATAGTTATCATTTTAACCACACAAAAATATACTTTATTATTGAAAAGGACTCGTACACAATCAATATAAACAAAATTTATGACAGTAATAATGTTTATTACTAACTAACAGTCTTTTTATTACAGCCTTTGAAAAACAGTACTTATTCTTATAAACTATTTAAAATGCAACAAAAAATACCTGTTCTGAAACTAAACAAAAAAAAACTCTTAAATCTTTAAAATTACTAAATAAACAATAAAAGGCTATAGATTAATTTTCCTCTGATGGTCCACCATAGCAGTCAGAGCACACCATAATCACATGTTCCATACAAAAATATTTCTTGCAAGTAGTGCAATTATATCGGGTCCTTGATTTTATTTTGGAGCTACAATAATAGCAATTACCTATTTTATTATTTTTTGTTGTAGCTGTGGACTCTGGATAATCTAATTTGCAAATTTTAGTAAATCTTTGTCTTATCAGTCTTGGTAAATGTGTTTGTATTACGTCGCCTCAGATGTGGATTCATAAAATCATATGATGGGGCTTCCAAAAATTAACTGCGAACAATTTTTTTGCTGGGGTTATTGAGGACATATATGACGTCATAAATCTTTGGCATTCAATCTATTATTTCGTCTAACACCAGCAAAGAGTAAACGACCAAGAAAGGCTTGAATTGCAATCTCATCATTTTGTTAGATTATCTTTGCCGACATAATAGTCACTAAAAGTTATTCGATCCCTACTTTGCTGTTGGAATCTTCCTCTAGTTCAGTATCACTTTTTTTAGCCTCTCTTTCCACACAATCCTCGAAATCACTATCATTTTCATCATCGTAGTTAGAATTTGAATTATTCTCCTCTAAAATTAGTCTTATTTGTTCGTTGACCATTTTGGGACGGAAATTTAACCTAAAGGTAGTATCAAAGTATGTTATAAAATAATAATCCAATAATAATATAACAAATCATTAAAATTTTATAACTAATAAAACACAGTACTCATCTAAAACTGTATCAGCTATACCCGCGTCGGTCTCCTGGACCAAACGGTTTCGTGTACGGACATACTTACTACCCGTACAAGCGCTTCCGCCACACTTAATAGACGCCGGCGACGATTCGGGCAGCTAGCAGTGAGCCCAATGTGCTAGCATTTATCGTTAATTAGAAAAAGACGCAAACTTAAACTGTCGGTCTGACAGACCAATACGCGGGTATAGGAGGATTAAAAATAGTTCTGTCAATATATTTGACAATAATTCATAATTAGGTATTATATTGTTCAAAATGTTATAAAGAAAGGGGGGTCAAAAATTCAAGATCTTACTTAATAACCACTTTATACTTCCATCGATTATAATTTATTCTCAAAACTAAATATTTCAATAAAAGTAAATATGTAGGTACTACATAAATGAAATTAAAACGTAATACAGATATTTACTATGGCGGTGATATTTGTATAACATAGATTATATAAAACGTTGTAGATTATATATGTAGGTAATATGTCAAAATCGGAAAACTGATTAAATATTGTTACAATTATATAATGTAAATATTATAAATCACATAATTGTCTACAAATATGTACTTATACGTCATAGCATGTTAGTAAATACATAATCTCAAATTTCACTTCAAGAAACTATGAATTGGGTAAAGAATATAATGTTTAATTTAATATTAATATGGTATTTAAAATATTAACATATTTTTATTACGTCAGTTTAAACTTTCTTAAGTATAACTGACATATATTTTTTTTATTTATTTCAAAGTTTATAATATAATCGAGGTTTAAGGAGAAAATGATAATTTTAAAAAAAGGATATACCTAAACTTTTTGAACTGGGTACCAAAAATGTTTAAATCTATGATTTACCCAATTTTATATATACAATATTAAATAAGGAACATTAAATTTCTCCTTATTTTTCAAAACTGCATTAATCTTTTTTGTGTCAAAGGGACAAATTTGGAAAGAAATTTATAAAACTTTCTACATATCAATTTTTATTTAATTTAAATTACCACGCTTGAGGCACTTAATCTAGTATTGAAAGGTCAAAAACCTTATATCATTCTGTAAAAGAGCTTGTACTCTTAATCTACTGGATTAATATTAACCAAACATATCTAAGCCATGAAAACCGGCCTTCAAATAAAAAAAATCAAAAATAGTTTGACATGTTTTGAGAGCTACAACGTCATAGAAATAAACATACACAGAAACATCGACGTCCAACTTATTCCGCGATTTGAGTTACTTCTTAATAAATAATTTAAAACATCTGCAACTTTTAATTAAAACATTTTTATAATTTCACCGTCAAACTGCCTAATAACTTTACAGCCGTCGTCAGTAATTCAAATGATTAGAGCTACGTTTAAACCACAATGGCCGTAGGTAAATATTTAATTAGGCACCCACATTCATTAAAACGTTTGTATTAAAATTATTAAACTTTACACCTACCTCAGGTGTTAAATATAACAAAGAAGTCAAATTAACACTTGTGAGACATACATATTATTCCTTATACCTAACCTTGATCCACCAATAGCCTTCAAAGCCTGTCATTTTCTCCAGCGAAATAAAATTCCTTACGATTTCACGTATGGATATGGATAATTGTACATTTTGATTTTCTAAGTTTTTTTATAAGAACCTTCAATTGCTTGTGATCAATACACGTTTGTATTTAAGTATTTGATTGTCAATGTAAATTTTATGAATGATTCGGTAGAAGGTTCAAGTGAAAACAAATCTCTAGGAAATTATATATACCTAACTAACTGAATCGGCAAGCGTTGTTTTGCCATTTAAAAATAGGGAATGGTGATAAAAAAGTAAAAATTTAAGGTTGTATGTATTTTTTAATTAACGGTGAACAACCCTTATGACTTAGGGGTGTGAAAAATAGATGTTAGCCGATTCTCAGACCTACTCAATATACTCACAAAATGTCATCAAAATCGGTCCAGCTGTTTCAGAGGAGTTCTCTGTATAACACAGCGACACGAGAATTTTATATTTAAGATTATTACGTTTACAGATAATAATAACCCCTTTCTTATATGAATGGTGATATTTCTTCGAGAACTATACTGCTTGGATCACAAGCTATGAAAAACATAAAAAAATGATTACAACATACTTTAAATCATATTTAATTTGAAATATTTTAATTTAATCGGTAAAATTTTTTTACGACATCATTTTGCATGACAATGTCTGTAAATCTTATTGGCATAATATTTTTTAATCAAACATGGCGGCATATAGATACACGCTGGCGTAC